GGGGGGGGGACACTCTTCCTCCATCTGGAGTCCGTCAACAAATCTTCCTTCACCAATAGCTAGTCAGCAAGTCTTCTACACCCAGAGCTCGTCAACACGTCTTTTCCTTCACCAATAGTTAGTCAGCCAGTCTTCTACATCTAGAGCTCGTTAACAAATCTTCCTTCACAAATAGTTAGTCAGCAAGTCTTCTACACCTAGAGCTCGTGAACAAGTCTTCCTTCACCAATAGCTAGTCATCAAGTCTTCTACACCTAGAGCTCGTCAGCAAGTCTTCCTTCATAAATAGTTAGTCAGCAAGTCTTCTACACCTAGAGCTTGTCAACAAGTCTTCCTTCACCACTAGCTAGTCATCAAGTCTTCTACATCTAGAGCTCGTTAACAAATCTTCCTTCATAAATAGTTAATCAGCCAGTCTTCTACACCTAGAGCTCGTCAACAAGTCTTCCTTCACCAATAGTTAGTCAGTAAGTATTCTACACCTAGAGCTCGTCAACAAGTCTTCCTTCACCACTAGCTAGTCAGCAAGTCTTCTACACCTAGAGCTCGTCAACAAGTCTTTCTTCACCACTAGCTAGTCAGCCTGTCTTCTACACCTAGAGCTCGTCAACAAGTCTTCCTTCACCACTAGCTAGTCAGCAAGTCTTCTTCACCTAGAGCTCATCAACACGTCTTTTCCTTTACCAATAGCTAGTCAGCCAGTCTTCTACATCTAGAGCTCGTTAACAAATCTTCCTTCAAAAATAGCTAGTCAGCCAGACTCCTACACCCAGAGCTCATCAACACGTCTTTTCCTTTACCAATAGTTAGTCAGCAAGTATTCTACACCTAGAGCTCGTCAACAAGTCTTCCTTCACCAATAGTTAGTCAGCCAGTCTTCTTCACCTAGAGCTCGTCAACAAATCTTCCTTCACCAACAGTTAGTCAGCCAGTCTTCTACATCTAGAGCTCGTTAACAAATCTTCCTTCACAAATAGTTAGTCAGCCAGTCTTCTACACCCAGAGCTCGTCAACAAGTCTTCCTTCACCAATAGCTAGTCATCAAGTCTTCTACACCTAGATCTCGTCAATAAATCTTCCTTCACCAATAGCTAGTCATCAAGTCTTCTACACCTAGAGCTCGTCTGCAAGTTTTCTACACATAGAGTTCCACAACAAGGCTTTCTATATATAGCGCTCCAGAACAATTCTTCCTAAACCTAGAGCTCGTCAACAAATCTTTTTATGTATAGAGCTCGTCAACAAATCTTTCATCTACAGCTTGTCAACAAGTCTTCTTTCACCTAGAGCTCGTCAACAAGTCTTCCTTCACTTAAAGCTCGTCAACAATTCATCCCACACCTAGAGGTCATCAACACAAAGAGTTGTAGTCTCCCTACATTTTATGCTTGACTTACCTAGCCTAAGTTCCATATAGTCCATACTGTCTTCTTCTAAGACGTATCTTACATTCTTTCTACATCTTGAGATGGATTTCCTTAAATGAACAGTCTTCCAACTCATAGAGATTGGCTTCCTCAACTAAAAACTATAATTTCCTCCCCCAAGAGCTGACCACCTCTACTTGACTCGACAGAAACAAGTAGAGAATGATGTGTACACAAGAAAGTTATCTTATTAACGTTGAAAGGAAAATTAAATGTGTTTAGCAACCAAGTCATATTTTTGGAGTAAAACCCTTTTGTAGCATGTTTAATGAATTATAGAGAATAAACAGGGCCATTGCAAGGGTTAGAAAAACAAATGAAATCAACCGAGTCAACAATATGCAATTTAACTTTTCCTTAACGCAGTATTTGTTTCATATTCAAAGGAATTCTGTGTGGAAGCTGGTTTACTTTGCGAAAAATGGGAGTGAAATACTTGATAGTCGTGTGTCTCCAAACATCAACAGCACAGCCTTGGATGTCATCCAGGGACCCCGGGGTCCATACATCATCTTAAAGGACTCTGGCTTTACCTCCAATTTGAAATACAGTTTAGGGTCATCTGTAGCCATTGATCACAAGCTTGACGTGCAGGGCATTAATCTGATTACTAAGAAGATTAAAGATGGTCTAGAACAGAACTATAACTACCAAGGTTTGTTATTAAGTCCTTTCTATATTGTTAGCTTTCCTGGACAAAAGGCTTGTGTCGTGGTACATTGTCCATCGTCCGGTGTCAATCCGAAGTCAACTTTTTTCTTTACTTGTAGGCCTAAGGTGATACTATTTGGCCAACATCATGCTGGGATAAAGGACTACCAAGTTTGTTCAAATGATCGACCTTTGCTCACTTTCAACGATACAGGGGTCAAATATTCTCAAAATCAAATTTCCTTGTGTGGTGATATTTGGCTAGTAGCAGGCTAGGATAAGGCTGCAAAGTTTGTTTAAATGAATGATTATGACCTACTTTCAAGGTCATAGAGGTCATGTTTTTTTTTAAATATCTTAATTTAGCCCATTTTAATATATTCTTCCTTGGTCCATTTTAAAAGGATGTTGGTATAAGATAAATATCAGCTGAGTGATAAAGAGCCATTAGGCCTCTTGCTGTCTTTAATTCTATAGCAAAGTGACCTACAGGGATTATTCTGTCTGTACCCTTGGCTATGTTATCTACACATGTACATAGTGGTTGTCTTCCAATAACTTTTCATAAAGAAATTCGTTGAATGTCAGGAAACTTCCCGAAAATACTTGAAAGATTAGCTTGATTTTTTCAGGAAATTTGCTACGATACATTAGCATCAGTTCCCCAGTCACATTTGAATTAAGTCGGATATGTTATTCGATATGACTGACAGTGGCAATATTTGAAATTCAGCACCTGATGGGGTGTTGGTTTGATAACTCTTAAACAAATGCTTTTATTTTCATAAAATTTTCTGCACATACCAATAGTATCAGTTACTTTTCAAGTCTGATTTTAGTAATTTTAGACTAGGTATGAAATCAATGTGTCCACCAATGGCCAGTCTGGATTTTGTGATTGATCACATTGTTTCTGTGTGATAAGCCTTAAAGGATTTTCAGGAACGTTTCTTCACCTGGTTGCAGTGTACAATGCCTACTCAAGTTACATTTGTATCGAAATCTGAAAACTAAAACGGTTGTCTGTAGGGTTAGGCAACACTTCTATTTTCTGCAGAATCTTTGTTATATCTGAAAATTTAGGAATAAAAGAAATGTTCACTACTCTTAATTAATACATGTTTTATGGCAAATTCCTGGTGATAATAAAACAATTACCCTTTGGCAATAAACTGTTTCCTGAATAAGTGTTGATTTTGTAGCCTCAGTGCTGAACAGTATAAAATGTTTACATACTTTTTGATTTTCCTATATTTTGACAAATTTATTAATAAAGACAGAAGCAAAAAAATAAAAATGTGGCATGAATTGTGTCATGAATGAAAAATATTTTAACTTGAATTGTGTATTGCAGATTTAAAAGGCAAATTGTCGGTATCGATTGTCAGACAAGAGGAATACCTAAAAAGCGATGGGTAAGTGAGTTAAAATAAATATTTTCTCAATCTGTTCTGACCATTGCTAACTAAACTGTGTTCTGGCCTACACTGAGACAATCACTGCCTACATCTGAGTACTGGCTAAGTACTTCATCGTCTGATGTACATTGAGCCCCTTTTACCTTTTTAGAAGCTTTATCAGGCTACTTAGCCATTTCTTGTATTACTAAACATCATGTTTTGTACCCTCATTAAGTTAAATTTACTTGACTTTGTGACATAGGACCCGAGGCTGGAAAGTGGTGTATTTTGTCAATGTGGATGGAAAAACTGTCCGAGCATCCAGTTTGTCATCAGGAAACATTTCCCTTGCTGGATACCAGGGACCACATGGTGTTCTCTACAATGTCCTTAAGAAATCAGAGCTTGTCTACGACTTCAGAGACAGATTTACTATTACCATGAAAACGAAGGTCACACCAGAATCTTTTAAATCCCTAAAGAATATTATAATTGCTGCATGGAATAATACCAATACTGGTAAGTCTATTAGGGGCCACATTGGAGATGTAAGTGCCCTGTATTAATCATTGTCTGGTGCAAGTTTTCCTTTTTAACTTGACATGATACACTGAGATATGAAGATGTGACAAAGGTGTTTAAAAAGTTTTTGAAGGTCAACATAATTGTTACTAAAACAAGACTAAGTAGAAGGGAATAAGGATGGACCCTAGCTGACCTATCTTTTTTAGTTTTTGGTACCATTTTTAGCTCACCTGCCTTAAGGGTAAGTCGCACAAAACTTTTGCCATGACATGGCATCTGTCATCACATCGTCTCTCCATCTTCTGTCAACTTTTCCTTTAAACCACTTCTTCTGAAAAGTTGAAAGCCTATAGTCATCTTACTCAGCTGGTAGCTTCATGGGATGGATTCCGACAACAAAAAGAGACCTTGACGTATCTTCAAGGTCACAGGGGACTGATATATCAAAACCTTTAAATTACTTTTTCTGAAGATGTGAAAGACCTGGATTCATGATATTTGGTTAATACTTCGTTGAATGGATCCAGAAATGTTAACAAAAAGATGACTTTGACCTCTTTCCCAGACCACAGGGGTTAAATCTTTCAAACACTGACTTCTTTTGAAAAACTGAAAGGCCTAGAGTCATAAAAAACTGGCTGATAGAATTGAAAACAAAAATAAAATGCCGATCATGTAAAGGCAATTGAATCCGACACTTTTCAACCCTGCTTGTCTCAAGTATTTGTATATATCTGCGACTGAAAAAGGAACAAATAATGTTTGTGCTGAATAATTTTCGGAAATGGTTCAGTTTATATATATAAATAGATTACATTTTGTTTAACATTGGATTTAGTTTATTTCAAATAATTGTTAGTTGTGTTGCCTTGAAATACCCTTTTGATTATACAGTTGAAAACACTTGTTATGATAGTTAAACAAAGCATGTGCAGTAGTTAAGTGCTATCTTAAAAACACTCTATTATTGTGTATCAACTGGAAATGATTAGGCCTCCTGACATTTTCTAGCACAAATTCTAATAAAAATGTATTTTATATCTATTCAAAGTTACCTTCACAAGTCATGCATGCACATCATGACAATGAAAATATTGCTTCAGTGGTGTGATTTAATCATTTAAACAATAGTTTCCCTATAACATTTCGAGTTGATTTCCCCGTGCCTCCATTGAAGAAGTGTCCAAATCTGAGTATACCGTCCTAGCAACATGGTGCCGGAAATTGTTCCAAAGTTAACATTATTGTCGTAATAAACTGTTCACTATTATCGTTAAAAAAGAATTCCTGATAATATTGCATTTATATTTCAATTATTACAATATCAATCTTTATTGATATCGCCCCATGTTTCCACATCTTTCCATGTCTGACGGTTACAGAACATCTTAATTCCGGTTCAGACACCATAAACACTATCGAATACAGCTAGATTGTTTAATACAATACAGTGGAACCCACTTATTTTGATAAACTGCCTATTACAATATGTTCCCTTGTTCCGATTTGTGCTGCTTTAACTAAGAAAAAGTATTGCTGATGCCAAATGCATCTTATATATATATAGACTGATTAGCACTTATTTCTATGTGTTTTGTTTTATGTCTGTCAGTAAAATTGTCCTATTTACCAGAGTAGTAATGTGTTAATACTCTTTTTTGAAATATTAATTCCATGATAAAAATAATCCCAACGCTTTATCCAAAACGTTAACCATGAAATAATTAAATGCATTTACATTAAAGCCATATGCACAGTGAGATCTTCTTAATGGACAGTTACATAAGACAAATAGCAAAGCTAGTTCCTGTGTTACAGGTTTGAACACTAGCAACACTGTTATATTCAAGCTAGACACAGGCGTGGAGGCAGATGTCACGCCTTAAAATGTTTCATGAAACTCGACAAAAACCAAAGCCTAAAAGAACGAACGCAGTTAATTGTTAGCATATTTGGAAAATTTGAAGAACAATACAACGTTTTATGCAACCCGAGAGTGCAACGCTGGTGCATGGAGCACAATTCAAAGGTACTTTTTGCCTTCATTCAAAACTGAAGGAGCCCCTCCTCAAAATGGAGACAGAGGGAATGGGTTAACAAAACTGTGATAGTTAAAAAGGGAAATAAATAGGTCACTGGATACATTAAGACCTAGTTACCTCAACACTGCAATAATGCAAGAGCACTATAGGACCTCATCGTGTAATGTTTACCGACATAAAATGTAGAGCTTGGCAAGAGAAGACAGGTTTATTGACAATACATGACTATTACATAAAACAGAAATATGTTGCAGAACAATCTATGAAATATCAAGTATAAATCAAATATATGACAAATATTTTCATATTAAGTTGTAGCATATTAATAAAGTACTATAAGATATTTCCAGTACCTATGATCCTCTTGGCACTAGTTACATCACTACAATCACTTCGGTAATCCATTTAATTTAATTCATGATTTTATCCTCTAAGGGATAAATCTAGAATCTGAACTAAAAGTGCCTAGCTTATTGAAATAAGTTTTCTTTAACTCTGAACTTCTTGTTTTACTGCAGAACATATTGACACACTGTTTCCTGTAATTCTGTTTTTATGTATGTATTTTAGAACCTGTGACAGACTGTTGTCTGAATTCTGTTTTTACTGCAGGGAATGTTGACAGACTGTTGTTCTGTACTTGTGGATGTATTTTAGAACCTGTGATAGACTGTTATCTGTTATTTTGTTCTTATGGATGTATTTCAGAATATGAAAGGTGTGGGTGTTTATCGATGGACAAAATCAATGCCAACCAGTTTGAAGAAGTTGTAGACCAACATGGGTAAGTTACATCACAACCTTGACTTTTAAACCATCATCTTACAGCAGTAACTTTCCATAATGTCAATCTGTCATCCATCTAAAGCTATTGATATTACGGCCTCCGAGATATTGGATGCACTTTAAGCCGTTTGTTCACAGCTATTTCTTCAGTGCGGTTTATGTCTTTTTTGTAAAAGTCTTGTCCAGAGATTATCTCCTGTACCTTCAATGACTTCAATGAAACTTTCCAAATAAAATGTTAAACACCTAAAATTGTGCACCTGCCCTAATTTTCGTTTCGACCATTTTCAGGAAAGTAATATGTTCCTTTTTTTTGCAAATATGGACAACTTCTTTTAAATATAAAGGTGGATTTGGTGAATTGTTATTGAAATGATTAGTACCCTATATAGTTTTCCACCTCTGTACTTACCACCGTCCATCCGTCCGTCTTTCCGTCCATCCGTCCGTCTTTCCGTCCATCTTTCCTTAAACAATCCTTGTTATCAATATTTCGTCAGAAAGTACTGGAGAGAACTTTCTCAAATTCACATGATGGTTTTCCATGGACTCTAGTCACGAATATCAGATTTTGGAACTGTTCGGACGAACAAGATGGTGTACAGGCTCTTTTCAAATTTCACATGTAGGTTCCCATAATCCCTAGTTACAAATGTATGCATATTGCATTTTGGAACGTATAAAATGACCAGGATTGCCGACAGGCGGCCATGTTGTACTTTGAGGGTTATAAATTCTTAGAAAGATCTGGACAGATCTGTTTTAAATTTCACCTCGTGGTCCCTACTTATGCATAATTGGACTGATAAGAAATAAACCCGAATTGGCCCCGGACAGCCAACTTGAATGTTTACAGTTCAGTAATGTTATCACAATAAAAGTAACAGAAGTAAATCATTATACAATTTCATTCTTTGATTTTCATAGGTCCTAGTTATATAAGTTATGCATTTTCAAAATTTTGATCAGGTTAACAAAATGGTCGCCAAGCAGCCATCTTTAATTTCAACAGTCTCAGTTTGTATCAATGTTTACCAAGAACTACAAGACAGATCTTTTTCAAGTTTCAGATTTAGGTTCTCATTGTTTCACATTAGGTGCGGTGAGTCATTAGGTAAGTCAAATGACAACCTCACTTTGGAACAACAATACTGACTCCTTCATCAAAACTACTAAACTAATTTCAAAACAAAACTGCAGGAAGGTTCTCTGTCCAAAGAAAAACCTTAGTTGTGATTAATATGGATCTAAACCATCAGGGATCAGATGGGCCAAAAGGTCTCAAAAATATAATTGTAGTTACTCCCAGGTCAACCACCAGCCCCCATGGGTATAGGATATTGTTCACTAGAGTTAACTTAGAGAAATAACATGTTCGGGTATATTTTGTTTATATTTAGTGATTTAGATTTCAAAACTTGGTTGTAATCATGATGATGTGGTTGCAGCATGATATAATACTAAATCTAGTATTAGTGCCTTGTTTTATGACAGTTACTATCTATATTTATATGTTGGTAACATTTTCCAATATCCTTTTGTCAGCAAATCCACCCAGCCAAAAATCCACATTTGGATTAAATGTCCTTTTTTTGTCACATCACAATACAACAAATAACAATTATATTCCAACTTCGGGACCATTAAGGACCATGGGCCTCTTGTTTAAATGTATGATATTTTAGAATATTGTATAACATGAAATGTCCTTTGTATAAAAATATTTGTGGTTTTCGTGGTTGCTATTGAATTTGATCTAAATGGTTTCAAACCCGGAAGGAAAGTACCCACGAACATTTCGTATTATACAGTATGATATTCTAATATAACCATTAGCTTATGTAGGGTATTAATTAATTAAGTAGGTAAATAAAATGCAATATGTTTTCACCACCCTTCAGCACACCTTTCAGTAATTTTATTTTCAAGAGCAATACAGAAAAGATGTTGCTTCCGCTTGCTGCTACATTTCAGTAAAAATATTCATTTTAATACAACAAGGTATTAGAAGGATTTAAGTATGTAACTTTGACGTGGACTTAGGCAGATGTATATTGTTCGGGTATATATTGTTTATATTTAGTGATTTAGATTTCAAAACTTGGTTGTAATCATGATGATGTGGTTGCAGCATGATATAATACTAAATCTAGTATAAGTCCCTTGTTTTATGACAGTTACTATCTATATTTATATGTCGATAACTTTTTCCAATATCCTTTTGTCAGCAAATCCACCCAGCCAAAAATCCGCATTTGGATTAAATGTCCTTTTTTGTCTCATCACAATACAACAAATAACAATTGTATTCCAACTTCGGGACCATTAAGGACCATGGGTCTCTTGTTTAAATGTATGATATTTTAGAATATTGTATAACATGAAATGTTCCTTGTATAAAAATACTTGTGGTTTTCGTGGTTGCTATTGAATCTCGAAAATATATACAACCGATTTTGGATGATATACGTGTCTTCTATTTATCAATATCGGACCTCCACGAAAGTTTATAACACGAAACGATCTAAATGGTTTCAAACCAGGAAGGAAAGTACCCACGAACATTTCGTATTATACAGTATGATATTCTAATATGACCATTAGCTTATGTAGGGTATTAATTAATTAAGTAGGTAAATAAAATGCAATATGTTTTCTCCACCCTTCAGCACACCTTTCAGTAATTTTATTTTCAAGAGCAATACAAAAAAGATGTCGCTTCCGCTTGCTGCTACATTTCAGTAAAAATATTCATTTTAATACAGCAAGGTATTAGAAGGATTTAAGTATATAACTTTGACGTGGACTTAGGCAGATGTATAGTGTTTTGCCCCTGCATTACTCTTGCGATGAAATATCACGCCTGCTCCAACAGATTGTTCATGGAAAAAACCCTGAAACGGATATGCAGAGGTGTATTGATTGGTGTGTCGTAAAACCTAAAATACTCAGGTGTGCACAATACACCGTGCACTAAATAAGTAACACATATTTTGACTAACAATCTATCTGATGCAGTGTGTATACGCTCCTTATCGATAGGCGAAACGTCTCGGGTCGGGTGACATGAAAATACAATTTTGTCACATCGTTGTACAGGTTAATAATACAAATCGCTCATCAGTCATAGCTTGAAACGTTGCAACACGTTTAATACGTTCATTGTTTGTGTAAAAAGCAAAACTTTGATATCACATATTTCCAAACAGATGAATCTTATTGAAGATATTTTGACTGACATTCATTTGGATTTCTGATACAGCCCACAATTGATGGTAAAAAGAGTGTATTTTCAAAAGCTGTAATAGATTACTATCACTTCATTTATTTTAGAAATTCACTCTGGCAGTTGACTTACTTCCTGCAAAAGAATTCTACTGTGGTGGAATCTAGGACACACTCACCTCTGAACCTGACACACCTACAGACAATGTTTAAAGGTCTGACCGATGCCAAGGGTGAGGTGTACAGAGTAGTGGACACTGCAGTGGTCAGTGTCACACCACTCTCACTGGCCAGCCACTTCTACCTTGACCGACAGACTGCACTTCAAGAGCTACAGAATTTTACCGAGAAGGAATGGATACTCAAAGGTTAGCTAGGGCTTTCCTCACAATATTATTATTCTGTATGCATTTCACAGAAGTAACAGATACATTCTTAAATCCTATACAGATATTGACAAGTTTCACATCATATTTTCATTCACCTTGCCTTTAATTGTTGTGTGCATGTTATTGTTGTTCTTCAGTTCTATTACTTGTATATTGTAATATTACTTTCTATCATTTGAGCTTTTTACTCTTAATTGTGTTCCAGGATTCCAGTCAGTAAAGGTGGACATGATAAGGATGATACGCGTCTTTGATGTATTTTGGTTTGTACACATCCTGTTTTTCCCAAGTAACACATTTACTCAAGTATTATCATACAGTGTAAACATGTTTTACCAAACAGTTTTGTTGTGTATGGAAATGAAAGGTTCTAGATTAAAGGATATTTATTATTTGTATTTCTCTGTTCGCAGACAATATTAAGAAAGGTAAATCTACAATATGTTAAATATCTTGTTTGACCTTCAGGAAAGCTAGAACTTGCAATACATAAATCTAATAATGAAAAAAAGGAACTTTGCATACATGGAAAATTAAATAAGTTATAAAAACATTTTCAACTAAAAAAAGTCAACAACTTGACAGGTGAATGTTTTTTGTGCAAGTGCCAAAGTTTGCCTTTGTTCGGGCCTGGCAAGTAATTTTTATAATCTTTATCAACTTTGCTACTGTGCCTAGACTATAGCCGAGTAATAATGTACGCAAATAAGCGGCTGGAATGAGTTAGGCCTGTGTTTCCTTGAATGTTTTTGCTAGACACTTTGGTTTTAGTCAGGACACTAGACATTTCTAGCTGTCTGGTAACACTAGGGATCATCCCAGCTCAGGTTGTATGCATGTGACGTCTTAAGTCAGGGCAATGGAACAATGTCCAAACTGGAGATTTGACAGCAAGGAGCATTCCTGGATTACGGAGAATCAATCAATAAGCTGTGAAAAAGTTGAACGGCACATTTGTCCGGGATGTGTTGAATGCCGAAGACATCTCTGCTTTACTAGATGGGACTAAGCACATATCTTGTTCTTAGAGGAGTCAACGTTCCACAGTAGTGACGGCCGCTTCAGAATGTACCATCGCATTGGAAAGCCTTTTTCAGGACAATTGTGTCGTGGAGACATAGTCTGGGATGGCATACAACTGAATGTCTGAACTCCTATGGCGGTCATTGATAGAAATTTGACTGATGCAGTCTTTCTCATAATGAGATCCTGCAAACCCACATCGTCCCGTTCGAGTAACAATATTACATTATGATGCAACATGACATAAGACAACACGTTGCCGGTTTGTAACTGATTGACTAACTCAGCAGAATCAGGATGTGTTGCAATGCCCTGCAGTTTCACCTGACCTCTTGCCTATCCAGCACATCTTGGACGTTAGGTATGTCAACTAGGTAACCAACCTGTGACGTTGACTGAGGTTTCCCTTGCGTTAGTTCGCTTTTGGAAGGCACTCCTAAGGCATGTCTCAACAATCTTTTTGGATCCATGTGGTGTCAGTGCAATGCATGCATAACTGCTAACGATGGATATACTGGGTATTGACGTTAGCTGGCAAAGAATACACTTTGTGTTTGTTTTATCCTTGAAATGAAATGGACGTTCTTTGAACAATTTCGAAGGAACAGATCTTTAAGGAAATGTCTTTTACAATTCTGAAACAACCGGTTACTGTCTGCTTGAAGTAATTGTTTTATGTATCTTTTTACCTATGCACTGTTGCTTTTTTCTGATAGTTTAAATAAATATCTTCAATGATGAACAGTTTGTTGAAAGTGTATGGGTTTGGTTTATAACAGGAAGCAATGGTGGAAAGTAGAATACTTCATCCGTGGCAATGAGAGTCTCCTGGACCCAGCCATCCTGCCTGACCTGACATTCAGCAGTGCCAGTATTCAGGGCCTCCATGGTTACAATGTCAGCGTTCGAGCACCCACAGCCATGGTTGCCAAGACTGACTACAGTTGGAGTTTCTCACTAACGGTGGACAAAGAGGTCAAAAGGTCACACATACAGCACTTCAAGAATGCTATCAGAAACTCATGGACCTCAGTCACTGCCATAGGTTAGTTGAGATAGGTTAAAATTTGCTTTACGCATGAAACCTTTTACCTTGGAGTCCTTGTCTCAGGGCAGATACAGGTGATATAAATAACGATATGTTAAAACTACGACCTAACTCGTATCTTTCTAAGCTCTTTACAAAGTATAATATTAAAAGTATGATAAAGGAACCTACAAGTATAACTACATATAGCTCTACATCACTAGATATATTGTTAACAAACAACAGTCGTTTGATTCAAAGTACAGTAGTAAGTCCAAAGATGTGTCGAGACAATTCACCTATTAGTTTTATTAAATCTTATTCAGTTTTTAAACATAAATCATACAAGAAAAACACCCAGATGTATGAAAATGCAGATTTTGGGAAAATTTAATAATATACATACTGAAGCTATTTCTGATATTGTTAAATGTATGCCTTCAAAGTTGAAAACTATCCGGCCAGATGACAAACCGTAGATGAACAATAAAATAAAGTTGATATTGAGACAGAAAAATAGAATTCACTAAAAAGCAAAAAAATCTTGAGATCTGATAGACATGTACCCCCTAGTGAGTGGTGGAAAGTTGCCAATTCTGTTTTAAACTTTAATATTAAACTGAAAAGTATACCACCAATATATGATGAAGGAATGAGTATTCAACACCCAACTGATAAAGCTGTGACTCTAAATAACTACTTTTCATCTCTATCAACTTCTTCTCCTGATCTAGAACAATTACCTCCCTTGGTTAATAATTTTCTTTCTAAAGTAGATATCTTTTTTTTTAATTTCTGAGCAAGACGTTTTAGACCAGTTACAAATCCTTAATGATGAAAAAACGCCTGGTCCAGATGAGATGATAGCAAAACATATTAAACAGCTTCGTTCCTCTATTTCATTACCTCTACAATTGCTATTTGATAAAACTATAGAAACTGGAAAAATACCAACATCCTGGAAATTGGAAAATGTTAATGCTATATATAAGGGTAAAGGGTCACAGAATGAAGTTACAAACTATAGACCATTATCAATCACATCGTGCTTTAGTGTAATTATTGATTTTTTTTTTTTTATTAAAAAATGTATATAACTACCTTATTGATAGTGAAATCATATTCAATTATCAATCTGGATTCTTACCAGGTGATTCGACTGTAAATAAGCTTTTATTTATATAACACATAAAGGAAGTTATTTAGATAGGGGTAAAGAAGTGCAATTTGTACTTTGTGATGTGAGCAAAGCTTTCGATAGGGTATGGCATGACGGTCTTATATTTAAACTAGAGTCATATGGAATAAAAGGAAAATTGTTATCTTGCTTCAAAGACTATTTATTTGAAAGAAAACGGAGTGTTTACAGAGGGCCACTATTCAAATTTTACTTATGTTAATGCTGGAGTTCCTCAGGGATCAGTTCTTGGGTCTTTTTTTATTCTTACTGTACATTAATGATATAACATAACATATTATTGATAATAATCCAATTCAAGCAGCAGAAAGTTTAACAAATGATCTTCAGAATATAAGTACATGTGGGATTTGAAATTTAATGCTGCAAAAACTGAAACTGTTATTTTTGCTAGGAAAAACCCCCCAAATCACCCACCTATTTCTTTCTTGAGCTAACCACTAAATAACAAAAGATCTCACAATCATCTTGGTCTTACTTTCACTGAAGATGGTAAATGGGCTGAACACAGACAAAAGCCTATGTTAAGGCATATAAAAGAATAAACATTCTTAGATATAAAATCACTTATTATAATGTATACTTCTTATATCAGGCCAATTTTAGAATATGCAAGCGTAGTATGGGAAATTGTACAGAACAGGAAATACCATTTCTCGAATCAGTCCAATTAGACGCAGCCATGATAATTACAGGTTTACGGCGAAGAACGTCTCATTAAAAACCTTTATAAAGAATTAGAATGGAAAACATTATCTGAAAAAAGAAATAAACAAAAAACAATTTTAATGTATAAAATTCTACATAATGACTCCACATCTTATTTATTAAATAGTATTGATTCATTTATTAATGATATTACAAGAACAATATATGAGTTAAGGGAAAATAGAATGTTTAATCCGCCTCTCTTTTGTTTTTTCATCCTTGTGGCTAATGTTTACATCTCTTCTTCAGCAGCAAATGTGGATATTTTCATACCAGAGCAAGTAAAAATGGTCAGCAATAAAGGGTGAGTTGTAATAGCTTTGTACCAATGAATGTACTTTAGGCAGAAAGATTCAGAAAACATATAACATGTTACATGATTGTGGTTGGAGGCAAGTCTTTGTGTTTAACATTTGATGAACACTTTGTAGTTTTGTAACGTTTTTCAGCAAAACACCTGTTTGATTACAAATGTTTGAATTTCCTACAAAATTGTTGGTTTATTTGTGACTTTGTCAATTTGATTGTTCGTGTACTTTTGTCAGAGTCTTCAATAGATATATGATTTTGAGCTCAAGTACTAGGATTGACTTACTACAGGACAGTTATCATTTGGTATCATTTCAATTGAACTGTAACTGTTATTGGTGGGCTTTTTACCAGACCTGGGGTCATTGTTGGATGTCTACTGTATATATGCGTTATATGTTGAACAGCACATTCTACTGGATTCTACCTGTCTTTGTGTATGACAAGGGCGCTGGACAATACCTGGACTCCCGAGTACATTCCGACCTGAATGTGTCTGATATACAAAAGTCTGTAGACACTGCCAATACCAGGGATGTATACAGACTGGTATCTACGGTGAACAGTGGCCTAAGGCGTTACGATACTGGCTTTACCCTCTACCTCTCATCCTTTGTCAAGAGGGCCCATCTCAGTACTTTGTCTACGGATATTGCTCAGCTCTGGAAAACTAAAGGTAATTGTGATTTACTCCTTTGAAATACACATATTTGTAACATGTTTAAGCATGTTTGAAACGGTTTGAAAACAGTTGCCAGTATAACCTATCTTAATATAGACTTTGCTTATGAAACTGGCAAAACAAAACACATGTTAATAACAATTTGCCGCCAAATCTTTTTCTGTGTAGTATGATTTTTAGGTTGGTGTTGATTGCATATTCAAACCATAATAAAAGTGGGATAACTAATATTTTAGTTCAGTTTAGGCTGCACACCACGATTTATCTAATGTTTGTCAAAATGTTTGACTTTGAGTTACCAAAAGTATGATATTGTCTGTGATGTCTTTTAGGTATGAAAACACTTGTTGGTAGATACTATCAAACAATCAAAATCAAAGTAATAATATAGCCTAAGATACCTACATGTATATTGCCATGCAGTGAAAGGGATACGCACATCTGAAGTTCATGAACTGTTCATGATAATGTTTTGAACTTCAGTTATTGTTAAGTGGATAAAAACACCTGTTTATAGGAAACATTGAAAAATAAAGCTTAAGACTACTGATACATATGCATTGTGCAAAATTATGGGTTATATATATACATTATAACATTGAATGACAAAATTCGCCTTTGAGAACCTGCTGTTACATGCAGTTTTAAGCATTCTTTCAATATGAAGCTGATTAATCATTTTCGTATACTAACGTTTGTTCAGATAATTTGTTAAATAATGGTTTGGTATTTTGAGGATACATTTTCATTTCTTCTTTAAATTTTATTATAAAATTAAGAGGATAAAGTTTATTATAAAATTAAGGTGATGAAACAGGTTTTCCTGAATTAAAAATTAAGATGATTATTTTAAACAAATTAAAGCAAGTGAATTGTTTTTAATTTCCCATCTTCTTAAATCACATGTTCAATTTAATAGTTTTTTAATGTGCTGAAGTTGATAAATGTGCAAAAGACAATTAATACATAATTAAGGAATATTTTTGACGTTAAAATTGATGAAAGGGGGAATTGCTGATGTAGCTCCTTACATGTTAGATGAATTATCTATAAATACATAGGGGTTTAAGGATTGTTTGAGTGTACACCAACTTACTTGAACTTTTACAGAGTATGACACAAACAGCAAAGTTACTGTTTCCATTGTCAAACAAGAAGAGCTGGTAACAAATACAGGGTGAGTTCATTTCTACTTGTATGAAGATTCCATTTTTTTCGAAAAAAACCAACAACATAACATTAGAATAGTTCGGTCACTGCAAGTATGAATTCAAATTCATTTTAGACTCCTCCATTTAATTTATTCTTTGACAGTGTGATATGTTGTTTGCTATGAACAATGCAAGTCATCGATTATAAGTATATACTAAGCATAACACTGGGTATAGGATAGGAAGTGCTTTTATTATTAAGCACAAGTTATCAGGATAAATTATGAACAGAAAGTGTATGGCTCTGTTTAGCAGATCGGCCACTCTATCTATGAGAGACATATACCTTTGTCCTGTAATCTATTATACCAATCTGAATATTCCTATACAGCAAGGTGGCATCCAAGATGACCTACTTTCTACAAATCAACAGTACAGATATACACTTCAGTCAGGTGACTGACCTTGACCACGAAATGGTACAGGAAGTGGTCACTATGGTAACTGGCCAAAAAGCAGTTTTACTGAATGGAGTCAAGGAACTGGCGACTAGTACCTCTCACTCAGGTGTCACCATTGAGACAGCTTACAGCTACAGTAACCTGCACAACCTCTTTCTGACCAGTCCAATCCTGGATCAGGACACACCTGTAATGGAGACTCGGTTAGCCAAAGCTTGGCTCTCACAAATGGCAGATGAACGAGGTTTGTTTATAATGTTCTCGTGACAAGAATTTTGGAATTTCATAGAATAAGTAAGGGGTTCCAACAAGTAAAACTATATCACCACTGATGTCGCTGTTGTAACATACTGGTTTCAGACCTTTTCAACAGAAATATTTCACAATAAACTACATGTTGCTATGCATGCATTTGACGGAAATAAGGTTGTTTGAAATTTAATTTTTTGGAATAAATTACAAAAAAATAAATGATGGGTTGAACTAGAACCTTAAACTTACAAAGCCTACACTCTAGCTCTGTTACCATACAGGATTATACAAGCCTAAACTCTACCTCTGTTACCATACAGGATTATACAAGCCTACACTCTACCTCTGTTACCATAGAGGATTATACAAGATTACACTCTACCTCTGTTACCATACATGATTATACAAGCCTACACTCTACCTCTGTTACCATACAGGATTATACAAAGCCTACTCTCTACCTCTGTTACCATACAAGATTATACAAGCCTACCCTCTTCCCCTGTTACCATACAGGATTATAAAAGCCTACACCCTACCTCTGTTACCATACATGATTATACAAACCCTACACTCTACCTCTGTTACAATACAGTATTATACAAGCCTACACTCTAGATCTGTTACCATACAGGATTATCCAAGCCTACACTCTACCTCTGTAACCATAGAGGATTATACAAGATTAGGGGCTACCTCTGTTACCATACATGATTATACAAAGCCTACACTCGAGCTCTGTTACCATACAGGATAATCCAAGCCTACACTCTAGCTCTGTTACCCCATACAGGATTATACAAGCCTATACTCTACCTCTGTTACCATACAGTATTATAAAAGCCTACACTCTAGATCTGTTACCATACAGGATTATCCAAGCCTACACTCTACCTCTGTAACCATAGAGGATTATACAAGATTACCCTCTACCTCTGTTACCATAGAGGATTATACAAGCTTACACTCTACCTCTGTTCCCATACACGATTATACAAGCCTAAACTCTCCCTCTGTTACCATACATGATTATACACGCCTACACGCTACCTCTGTTACCATACAGGGATATACAAGCCTACACTTTACCTCTGCTACCATACAGGATTATACAAAGCGTACACTCACCCGCTGTTACCATACAGGATTATAATAGCCTACACTCTACCTCTGTTCACATACAGGATTATACAAGCCTAAACTCTCCCTCTGTTACCATACAGGGTTATACAAGCCTACACTTTACCTCTGCTACCATACAGGATTATACAAGCCCACACTCTACCTCTGTTACCATAGAGGATTATACAAGATTACACTCTCCCTCTGTTACCATACATGATTATACAAAGCCTACACTCTAGCTCTGTTAACATACAGGATTATACAAGCCTGCACTCTAGCTCCGTAACCATACAGAATTATGCAAGCCTACACTCTACCTTTGTTACCATACAGAATTATACAAGCCTACCCTCTACCTCTGTTACCATACAGGGATATACAAGCCTACACTTTACCTCTGCTACCATACAGGATTATACAAGCCACACTCTAGCTCTGTTACCATACAGAATTATACAAGCCTACCCTCTACCTTTGTTCCCATACAGGATTATACAAGCCACACTCTAGCTCTGTTACCATACAGAATTATAAAAGCCTACACTCTAGATCTGTTACCATACAGGATTATAAAAGCCTACACTCTACCTTTTTTACCATACAGAATTATACAAGCCTACCCTCTACCTCTGTTACCATAGAGGATTATACAAGATTACCCTCTACCTCTGTTACCATACAGGATTATAATAGCCTACACTCTACCTCTGTTCCCATACACGATTATACAAGCCTAAACTCTCCCTCTGTTACCATACAGGGTTATACAAGCCTACACTCTAGCTATGTTACCATACAGGATTATACAAAGCCTACTCTCTACCTCTGTTACCATACAGGGTTATACAAGCCTACACTTTACCTCTGTTACCATACAGGATTATACAAAGCCTACACTCTACCTCTGTTACCATACAGGATTATACAAGCAAGGCATCAAAATCAGCGTCCAATTTCTGTGCCGCAAAGCATATAAAACACTTGAAAGGGGAAGTGACACTATTCTAGAAAAAAATCCTTTAGGTTGCTTCATCTTCTATGTGAATGGGTCAATACTCAAAGCCACAAAAGCTCTTGAGTGAAGCCCTCATCTCCATTAAAACTTATGCATTTGTACCCTTTCCTTAAAATTGTTTTTGATATTTACATCTTTCAATTCTTGTAAAATAGTTTACCCACAGTGGAAAACGGTTATGCGGATTGATACGTATCAAATATGGTGATGGGTTACTTTTAGGTTTACTGATGATTGATTGTTTCCTTCATCATCTGGAAACATGGAACATGTTAGGGATCCATCATTTCTTTTTCCATGAATGCACTTTCAAATTTCCTTGAATGGTGGCTTCGTTCTGTAATATATGACATAATCAAGTCCATGTGCGTGCATAACGACCACTATATGAAAAAATGGCCAAAGGGCTATTCAGATTAATCAGTTCAAAATTTCCAAACAAGTTCCACAGCTAGTTCAGATGAATGCATTATATGACCCGGTCACAAGGTCAAATGGGTTAAAAGTTGTTTAAAAGACCTCTTTTCAATTACCAAAAGAGGTCAAAGATGATGATATTAGGCCAGTATCTTACTTGGATTAAGGCCTACCAAGTGTGCTCAACTGAAACACTTTAATAATTCTTATCAGTAACAAAAATGTCAAGGTAATGAAATCAGCCAGTACATGCTCTGATAAAAGGTGACGAAGTTTGTTTAGCAGAATGAGCTTATTTGACTTCCAAGGTCACGGAGTCAAAACATTTAAAATCTTTTAGCATGTTCTTCTGGATGATCAAGGGCAATTATTAATTATAAATGGCCTGCAGCTTTATTCAGTTCCGTAAACTGTATATGACTTTGATCCTTCTTAAAGTGACAGGTGTTAGAATAATAACAAATGAGCAATGCAGGTTTATTGTGAGTTACAACCCTTAGTTTTAAATTATGTATGCACTACTTCTCCCAAAAATATGTAGACTGCACCAATTTGAATGGTATGTTGCACTCAATGTTATATAAACAGATGATGTGACCACCATGGGGCAGAGGGGTGCAGGGGTCAAACAGGAGAAATAGAAGATAATCTCCAACCTTATCCTTACATACAAATAAAGGGATTTTAACCAAAAGTAAAGAACATCCCTGAGGCAAAGGGACTCATTGTTGTTTAAATGGAGAGTGTGGCACGAAAATGAGCATAGGGGCCCAACAGGAAAAATAGTGGTTAATCTTTAAAATGCGTGTCCTACATTTACCGCTGGGTAAAATAACACCAGAACACATTGTATACTGTACAACGATAGTCGTTAAATCTGCAAACCAATATATATTTGGAACATCTACTGTTGGGTAAAAGTCATTTGGAAGTCCATCAGTATCAAAATCTGCACTGCACTAAGTCAGCCTTTCGCGCAACCATGACAACTTGTACTGTGCCATTATGTTATTATATAAAGCTTAATCCACGACTAGATTAACCAACATGACTAGCCTCTTTATACGATACAGGTGAGTGGAGGGGATTGAACAGACCAGCTTCTGATGCTGATTCAATCCCCTCTGCGCACAAGTTGTCTGATCACGTGATCGGGTCTTGGCCCTTCAGAAGGGAAGTTATGCACACGGCCCTGATACAACCCAGCTTCAACGCTCTGACTGTAGTACTCAAAATAGAAGCTACTGCTATAATCTTCGCTTAAACGAAATCAATTATTATTGTAATATCTTATGCTAATTACAGCTATAAGCTGACTTGTTATAATACAACTGAATAGCCAAACAGTAAACTGTATAAATGCACGACATACGGGAACTTAATACTTAGCACCAATGTGTTCGTTCCTTCTAATTAACCCGTAACAGCAGTACAATACAGTATATTGATAATATTCACTACAGAAGTCAAAATTAGGATATTTTTGCAGTATTTATTTTAATGAGGATGTTTTGCAATACCATGAATGTTTTAAGTTTAGTAAAACTATTAATTATAGATAGCGACTTCATAGGATTTGTATTTTCATTACAGCCATAACTGTCACGTTTGAACGAAACTATCTGATCAAGATGAACTTGAGTGTCTCCAATGCGGATTTAATCAATTATGATGTTATCCGCATTGGATTCTCCACGTCGGTGAAGCAGGGAATCCTGATACAGCTAGAGGTTTGGAAGGACTCCTATTTCAGCGTTAAAATAACAAATACTGGTAAATATCACAGTCCTGCATAGTTTAAATTTAATAGCTATACAACATTGTATTTCCTCAGATTGATAGCTGTTTAGCTCTGCTTTTTGTCAATATGTATAATTCTAAGATATTTTGATATCCATAGTAATTTCATCAACTTGAAGACCTTTGCAGTTCTAGATTGAAATGTGTTATGTTGTTGTCGTAGGATCTGTGGCCTTTATAGTGGACTCCGCGGTGTACAGAGGGGAGATAACTACTAAGGGTGTTGACTACACAGACGGGGCTTATCATGTGGTGCAGTTACGTACACAGCAGGTGACAACCTCAATGTGGACAGTATTCATGCAGGTGAGAATATTCTTTCGTGAAGTTTAAGACTTGGTCTTCTTGCACATAACTAGTTTTATAATTAATATCGAAGGGAAATAACAAAAGTAATGGTATACATTTGGGTCACTTAAGCACAAGGCCAAAGGCTCAAGTGACCACTTTTCATCTATTTGTGTCTTTTAACAACTTCTTGTTAAGAACAATATGGCCATGGGTTTTGAAAAGAAGATAGCATGGATGAAAGGCTGTCATACAAATGTAGTTGTTTAATTGAATGACTTTGACATTTATTTAGGGTCACAGTGGTCAAATACATTTAAATGCTTAAAGGATTTCTCAAGTTCTAGAAGACCCAGTGTCATGTTATTTGACTTGTTGGTAATTAGGATAGAGAACTACAACAGTTGTGTAAATAAATGACCTTTGCCTTTGGTACAGTGTTAAAAATCTTAAAATGGAATCTTATGTTCTTAAATATCTGGGGTCGTGACAATTGACCAGTAAGAGGACGGGATGGAGGGATGTCAATGTGGCTCAATTTCCGCAACCTTTATTCAAGGTTTCATGGGAAAGATAGTTTAAGAATCTATGAATGACTCCTTTTTATGTTCTTGAAAGTCTGTTGTCAGTAGGCAGCTGAGATAGAGGACTGTTATTCAAGCAAATAACCTGTATATTCATTAAGTTAGCAGGGATCAAAGTATGTTTAAATCTATAAATTACTTTAATTCATGTTTCAAAATACCAAGTGTACGATATACAATCAGTAGGTTACAGGTTTGGATACAGGTTCATCAATTGTTAGGGTTCACAAAAGGTCAAAGGTCAAGATTTCTTCATCCCACTGTTTACACTTAAGTTATTGGAATATAACTTTTAAATGGTGTGTATAACCAGTTATATACTTGCTCGGCCTGAATAAAACAGCACAAGTATGCCACCTAGATTAGCTTAGGAATTGGCCCTGTTCCTTGGAAAACTTATCATGATATTATGGTATTAAACTCAAATGGTCGAACCACTCTTTAATGTTTTAGGTTGATGATGGTGAAGAGTATCACAAATCATTCCCAAAGCCAAACAGAACTCTAACCACGTTTTATGTTGGAAACAATGGTAAGAAGCACAGACATTATTAATAATTGTAGAATACAATTTTGTATATTAATGTATATGTATATGCCTACCAAATTATTTAAATTTAGGAATAAATTTATGTGAACAGAATGTTGGCGACATTTTAGACATCTAGATTCACATAATAGTAAAATATGTATCTTCTAACCAAGGTCGGTCTTTTGCCTATCACTTCTATACAAATTATTCATGAAAAACCCCCATGAAGCCTTGATCGGAATAGATGTAATATTTGATTATGCCTTACTGCTCAAGTTACAGTCAATCAAAATGTAAATCGGATGTAAGAAAGAATACATCCTGTAATATGCTTTACTTCTATGGTACAACCCTTGGTGTTATTTCAGTAAACAATTTTGAACCATGATACATCACTTTATGTAACCAAGCAAAACATTTAAGAAACATGAAGAAACGCTTGTTGTGACTTTCTGAAACATCTTGATAAGGTTGTGTTACACGTTGTTTGCTTGTTTGTAGATACAGAAGGTACAGGACAAGGATTTGAGGGAAAGATTTTCCTGCTACAAGTGGGTGAATTCTACCCCCTTCGATATGCCTTTACATCACACCTCCCATCAGATGTACAGCTGTCCCCACCTAACAGTAGGTACATGTAGAATAGCCTGCATAAATACATGAATGCTATCATAGACTGCATGGTGTAAATTGTTGAAATATAGCTTATATTCTAAATGAGTTGAAAACAGTAATTAATTCTTGAGTTTTCAACAGTTAGTTGGTTAGCTTGTTACCTGGTCGGAAAACCAAAGACAGGTTATACAATCTAATAACCTAATGGTCAGTGGTGCTTCGAGGAGCAGCTTAACACTAATTAAAATCGAAAAGGTGCAAAGTGTGGGCTGTTAATGTTGTTTTTACACTCGACAGTAAAGAGATGCTTCCCACGTAATCAAAAATCTGTATTTTGAAAAAGAAATTGGAAGGCAAAGTTGTGAAATGCTATCTGTACAAGATAGAACTCGATTTAACTGATTGGTTATACAAAACATTATGTCAATAAAATATCACATATTTGAATCACAATTATGTGAACAGGTGCAAGCATCGATGAATGAGTTCGTCGACCAAAATAAGTCTTTCAACTAAAAATACATGTAACTGTATCTGATTTCAAGTAAAAATAACTGTATATGCGTTCGATTATATTCTGATTGTTGTTTTAAAACATTAATATATGAGTAATATTACTAACCCTTTTGCGTAGATGTTGATATTTTATCCACATAAGTAAATAATTACATCTATTAGTATATATGAAAAAAAAGTTTTTAATAGACAACGTTAATAATATAATTATCGTTGCTTATTGTTTGATTATATTTGGCTTTCTTTGAACGAACCAAATAAAATTTGGAAACAAATGAAATCGACCTACTTTTAAGGTTACAGGGGTAAAAAATGTAAAAAAAAAACAAACCCAACAAACAAATACATTCCTCTGAAAAATCGAGAGGCTTATATTTGACTGTTACAAAATGTAGCTCCTGGGATGGGGCTCAACAAAGATTGTGAATGGCAATAACCTTGACCTACTTCCAAGGTCAGAGGGGTTAAATATGTCAAATATTCAAATAACGTCTTCTTCAAATCCAAAATGGGCTTTAATCATGGTGTTTTTGCTGGTAGCTATCTGGTTAGAGCCAAACAAACGACTTCTTTTGAAGTTTCATATTTTTTGTCCTGTAGAATGGGATTTGAATAAACGACCTAGACAAATTTAAAAGTCAAAGCAGGGAAGTAAATCAAAATCTTCCAGTTAAGATTCAAAACGTGCATTGTAATATATTTTTTTCAAGAGATATTCATAATGAGTAGTGACATACAAATGAGCCTATTTGTATAGATCTGACCTTGAAACTATTTGAAGGTCATAAATGTGATATGAACAGTTCCATAGACATCTTATTTATTTATAACATTGACCTTAATGTGTGACTAATATTAAATTATGTTATCCATTACTCTCACTAAATTTGCTGCTGAAAATTATTATTTCATTCATAAGTTTTACTGGTACTTAAAAATATATTTAAAGTTATATTTCAAAATCTTATTTAAAAATATAACAACGCTAGATATAATGCAAATGTCAGATAAGTCTTAACTGGAAAGAAGATTGTTTTTATAATTAACATATTATATAAATATAAATGATTTCTCTTGATTAACAGTGACAGTCTCTGTATATAGCATTGGACAAAATGCTGGACTTCCTAACACCAAACCAAAATGGAAAGTTGATATTGAAGGTAAAATATTTGTTTTCATTTATATTGTAAAATTCATTTGTTTGATTTAGGATCTTTCTGTGGGTCAAATTAAGTGTTAGGGAAACAGAAGTGTTGAAGTTAGTTTATCACTTTACACACGCTCAATAATGATACCACAACAATATCATGGTCTCAATTAGCACCACACACGAGTCAGCATCTATGACCCTGTTGCCTCATTAAATGTCAATACACACGTGTAGGACAGTAAGCTAAGTGTGTTCACTTACAGCTAACACACGCCGTACTGTCGTCCAACGTCCCATCAAAATACACACCACACCAATACTTTCCGGATTCCATCCCTAGCTTCCCATTTGTTCGGAAGTCTAGGAATTGCAATACACCATTATCAGGTGATTGTATCATTCTCTCTGTTGTTTTGAATTAGTATAAGTCAGTTAGATATTTTTTTTTTTGCTGTTAATATTTTATCACTGATTTAATAAGTAGCTAGCTTCACAAACAATGTAATCTCAGTTATTTCCCTTAGTGAGGTTCAAGCTAAACTTATTGCTATGCTTCCCTTCACGTGGGAAACATTGATGAGATGTACGGGTAACGTTGTTCCGATGTATGGGTAACGTTAATGAGATGTATGGGAAACGTTGAGGATATGTATAGCTAACGTTGATGAGATGTAAGGGAAACATTGCTGCGATGTATGGGTAACGTTGCTGAGATGTAACGCTTCAGTACAGTACATCCCAGTGCGAGATTTAGTCACACGGCATGAGAGAAAACAACCTAGAGGATCAGGAATGTACCCAAAATATATAATATCCATAACCTGAAGATGAAATGTTTGACCATCAAAAAGATATCTAGATACAGTTCAATACGGTTATAACGAATATCAGGGGACCTACTTCATCAGTTCGTTAAAAAGGTTGTTCGTATTATGTGTATAGCTAATGCTGATGTCACTTTTAAACACATCGCTATATAAAAATATTTATATAACACCATGTACACCTATAACAAAGAATATTCTGGTTTATTTCAAGGTATGTATATGCACACAATACTCACAGCAAGTAATAGTGAATACTGTCTATGGAATACATTGCTATGATAGGATCAGATTCAGTCTATGACATATATTTCTATGATAGGATCAAATTAAGTCTATAACATATATTTTTATGATAGGATCAGATTCAGTCTATGACATATATTGTTATGATAGGATCAGATTCAGTCTATGACAAATGAGTTTGTGATTGATTTACAGATATTCTGCATCTCTCAGCAAAGATTCTGTTCCAGGATGAAGTAGTGACGGACAAGAGGTGAGATTCATAAAATTTCCTTCGAAAACATGAATGGATATGACGAGACAAATAAGATTCTGGTTCCCATTTTTAAAATAGATATGAAACTAACTGATTGAACACTTTCCTGTATTGCCAGCACTGACTCATGATAAAAGAATCAATAATATATAAATTATATGTATGTAAGATATGAATATTCTACACTAAGGTGTAGAATTTTAGTCAGAACAGAGGCTTTGCCGCAAATTCTGCATATGAAGGTAGAATTGCAATATCCCACATACGTACATAACAGTTTACTCAATTTCTCCTAACTCTCTATACCTGTCTATATATCAGCTTCAGTGTCGCGAATTGGCATCGAACCAAGTATATAGTTGCTTCATGGGAAGGCAGTGGGTCAAATTATAAAACGAGAGCATCGTGACCTTATAATTGGACATTTGACCTTCACTTCAAGTACTGAAATTATGGTTTTGGGAGCACATTTAAGCTGCATTTTCAATACTTGGCATCAAACTTTCTTTAAAGGTACAGAAAGAGAAGGCAAAGAACGTTACCTTAAACTGCTCTCATGGTCACAGGGGTCAAATCTGTTAAAACAATCAAATGGCTTCTTCTGAAGAATTAAAATATCTCTTAAGTCGTTATTTATAGCCAGTGGCTGGCATGTAGTACTGAGAGAAAATAATTGATATTGACATATTTGTACTAGGTGAAACGGTAGAAATCTGTCAAAATAATCACCCACTTTTTTTTTGAGGAAACAAGTGGCCTATAATCATGATCTTTTACTATTAGCTTGCTGACATGAAGTATAATAAAATTGTGAAAATACTTTTAATCACATTGATCATATCTGGTCAAACACTGAAACAGTTTCATCTGAAAAAAACCCGCCCTAGAATCATGGTATTTAGCCAGTGGCTTGCTAGCATTGGGTACTGCAGAGTTTGTGAAATAAATGATCATGACATATATTTTCAGGATAAGAGGCATGGAATTTGTTAAAAATCTCAGCTGATATGTTCTAAAAAAATCAAGTGACCTAGAGTCACTATATACAGCATGCTATATATAAACAGGCTTGCTGGCAGCCAGAACTTAAAGATAGGGGGAAAATTACGTTGACTGATGTTCAAGGTCACCAGTGTCAAATATGTTAAAACACTCAAACTTTATTTTCTGAAAAACTCAGAGGCTTAAAGTCAAACCTTTGCTACACAGCTGTAGAAAAAAATAGCCTGACTAAAATGCAAGATTACAGCGGTCATATATCTGAAATAGTTATTTTTGACGAAAACTAATGCCTATATAAAACAGCTTGTGGAAAGGAAGTGCCTTAACATTTGCAAAAATAAAGTTACCTTGACCCATAGTCAAGGTAACAGGGGTTAAATTTGTAACAAAACACTTCAGCAATTTCATAAGATTGAAAAAGCATGATGAAATGATATTTGGCTAAAAGCTTGCATAAAAGTGGTGGCACAAATTTGCCAAGACGGTCCAATTTATCAAAATACACCATCAACATCTGTCATATTATTTAGCCATAAGCTTGTCGAATATAGTACTTGGAAGTTTGTGAAGAGGTTTCTTTGAACAGGTGAATGTCCTCAGGCCCCTTAGGCCTCCTGTTATTGCTTATCATACCATTTCCTTCTCAAACCTATTACTCTGTTTTTTAAAGGAGAAGTATGTGGAACGTGAAGTATGCTATCATAGTTAACAAACAAAAGCAGCTAAGGAGGGCACAAGTCTCACAGCTGTCCTTCGACAACATAGAGACTTTCCTGAATCTAACGAGGTCCGGGAGTAACGACACCTACCATTACATGGACGAGAAGTACACTGTGAACACCATTAGCTACAGAGATCTGTACCATCTTCACATCCACCAACGTGCTGCTTCCCAAGACTACCTAAGCATTCAGGCCAATCTTAGTACCATCTGGAAAAAAAGTACGTGCAAGAGCAACCACTCTAAACAAAATAACGTCGGTCAGATACACATGATAAACTGTATACATTTGATTAGAAAATAAATGAACAACCGAAAATAAAACAAGTTTTAGATTAAGACTAGTGTTGTTACTATAACAAAATACAATGGATTGTTCAGACCTGTAGTTAAGATATATTTAAAGGGATATTCTTGAATAGAAACTTCAAGAATATGACATTTCTTGCATATTTAAATCAAAAGCATTTTAGGAGTGAGGCAGATATATCAAAGTTATGTTTAAGTTATTTGTATACCCAACCACCCCCAACACCTGCATTAAGTGAAGTGGAGGATAAACTGAAACTAGAGTAGAGGGAATGTCAATAAAAGATGTAAATTGTAGTCCTCTCCCTATTTAATAGAGTTATCCCTCTTTGTTTCAAATTGTTTGCATTACTCCTAATCATCACAACATTGGGTGATACATGATACTTGTTTCAAAGAACCCTTATATTGATGTTATGTAACTGGAGTTACCTTACCGCTTTTTGCAGATATGCCTCTTTTGTTTAAGAACAGTTCTGAAAGAACTAATCCTACAATTTAAAGTGCAGGCAGGGGTAGGATTCCTATTCTAGCAACAGTTCTATGCTTTTTTTGTTTCAGAGGAAAACTCTACAAAGAGAGTGACTGTGATGAAACAGGAAGAAGTGATTGACGCTAAAGGGTAGCTATTCTTATTGATCGTATGATCGAAATCATTGCTGAAAGACTGCAATTGTCAGAAGGTTTTGGGCGTTTGGAAGATATCCAAGGCAATTGAATTGTAGTTCTAATATATTTCTAGACGCCGTAAGCTGCTCTAGGTATCCGAAACAACTATCGAGACTTCTGGCAAATATTACTTTTACAAAAATCAATAAAAAAAAAACATTTGTCAACCAATTATGTCTTTGATTTGTCTAAAGCAATTTAAAACGGCAAAATATCTATAAATGATAAATGTAAAAACTGAAACAAAAAAATAAACTGAATATATTCATATGTTCTATTGGTGCATATTATGAACTCTTTTTATGCAAATATCCATCCGCATGACAGGCTGAAACAATTTAACTTTTAGTTGCGATTTCCTCCCCTTGTCCATAGTCTATATATAGCTATTTATCTTTTCATGGGGTGGGTGGGCCATGTCGGCACAATATGTTTTCATACTTAGGAAAACAAAAATACAGATAAGTATGATATCAGTAGAGAATGAAAGTCAGTCGATAACTGTGACAAAGACGTGGATGGAATGTATAACACAATCTTTTCACTGCATCATATAAATAAAAGATTGCACCGTACAAATAAAATATTGAATATCAGTTTGTAAAACCACGTAAAATAGCACTAGTCGGAAATACAGCATGGCTGTAAATGAAATAAACAAGGCTACAGAAAACATCTCGGTCTTGCTTATTAGTATTAGTCAACGTTGTAACGAAATATATAGTATGCATATTAGCCATTGAAGATGCTTTTTGTGGTTCTTTATTTTTTTTGGCTCTTCACCTTTTGGGATTAACTCATATTTTTTAACAATGGTGCACTAATTTCCGAGTATAGTTAGGCACTTTGTATTTTTACTTATTCCAATGCCGCTGAAGTTGAAGACCTTAAATTACGAGTGGCATACCCCGCAACTGACTCGCGTCAGGTCGCCTATAAAACGACCGTCTAGTCATGATACACGCTCCTAAAAATCTGTGCGTCCATCTGTCACTTTTCTATGGACGAAATATTGTCTGGAGCTCTGCTTATCTTCTCAACCAAATTTTAAGAGTCTTGGTACACATGATCAGTACCCTAGGTAGTTGTGTGATTGTGATAATTCCGATAGGATATTTGAACTTGAGTAATTCCCCCTATTAGGTTACCTGAGCCAAAGGCTCCAACGACCTATTCCGATCACCTTCTGTACGTTGTGCGTCGTCCGTCGTTTGTCGTTCTTCGTCCGTAAACTTTTACCATATTTGACTTCTAAAACACGAGTGGATGGAATTTTTTCAAACTTGGTCTGAATCGTCCTTGTCGTAAGAGGGTATCCATTGTAAAACCACAGGGGACAGGGTAAGGATCCAAAGGAAAAATTAACCAATATTTCAAAAATCTTCTCCAGACACATATACACTACAATAAAATATTTTTCATGGATGGAAATGTTCTTAGGTGCATCAACTAAATTGTGAATTTCGCTACCCCTAGGTCATATGCTCTCCCTTTGGGAGAGGGTTAAGTTTTCTCCAGTTTATATAGGTAAATAAACCTTTGGGGTATATTTTGTCTATTCTCAGAAAGAAATTATTCAAACTTAGTCGAAATAGTTGTGATGAAATGTGAAATCATAAAGTATCATAAAGTAAGGTCCTGACTTAACCCATGGGTTTCCAAAGAGGAAAATTCGGTAAATGACGATTGATATTATATTTCGCATCAGCAAAATTATTTATCTGAATAGTTTTTAAAGTTCTTTTCCTTTAGTGACATGACAAGTATTGTATTTCAGTTTGTTTTCATGCTAATTTCCACTTCATATTATAACTATGAAATTAGGCTACCTATAATAAACTCAGGTGGACGTTGAGGCCCTTGGCCTATTGTTTAATTTCCGTGATATATTTTGTCTTGTTGTTTTCTTTCTTGACTAATAAAATTATTTTATGTAGGAACTAGATTGTAGCTTACATATCTAATTTTCAATTTTCAAACCATTTGAAAATCCAAAATATAAACAAAGGAAATTCATCTAAAATCCGGATACCATTCCTTCTCCTGAACAGACACATCTTTTGGAAGTTGTCTTACCATGTAGCCAGCGAAGACGGCGCCTCTCCCATCAACCCCAGACTTGTGGATGGGGTCACCACGGCCAGACTAGCTGAGGGAGTGGTCATCGACAGTCCCCTAGGGATCAGATACAAGGTTCTAGGAGTGAGCCAAACCTACAGGTTATCTCAGGCATACCGGTTTGTGGTCAGTAGGCGTGTGCAACTCAACGATGAGGTCAAACTCAGAACAGGAATTCTGAAAATTGTTGCTGCTAGCCAAAAGGGTAAGGACATAGGATATTTCTTGTTGTAGATCAAACAAAGGGCGAAGTGAGCTTATGATGTGGGTGGGGCATTATCCGTCGTCCGTATATTCCCTCCTTCCCATAAGTTTTGGGAGAGGGGCGAGTGACATTTGTATGTCTTGGAGAAGGTTTGCCATACCTTTTCGCAACGCATAAAGTGAATGAACTTGTTGTTAACAACCAAGGATTCCATTATGTGAAGGAATTGTTGCTCTTTATGCTGTAAATTGCATTTTAACTAACTATCGCTACTCATTAGGTAATGACTTGCAAGTTAGTATGATGGGTTACAGGTTGTTTTCACTCCACCATCTTATATACTGCACAGCTTCGATCGATACTTTATACAAAGAGACCCCTGCAGGTTGGGGATTGAGAAAATAATTACATCTGCTGTTACCAACTACTTGATCGTTAGAGGTAACTTACGTGGGACACCCTCCCAAAGGACTGACGGTCGGGTATCTAGAAAATAATGGAATTGTGCTCTTTTACTTTAATAAACAGTTTTAAAGAATTGTTCCTTCAATTCTTTGTGGAGGCGGAGGTATTATTCAGACAGTCAAGTTTCAGCTTAATTAGAGCACTACTCCTGAACAATTGAGTGTTTTGTAATATTCAGCAAACTCTATTGATTGACTCGATTGTTTAACACGTGACTTAAGAGTAGCCTCTCCTACTGTAGGTTTACAGACATCTTCTTTGGAGGTTGTGGCCTTCCGGACAGACAAAGTGGTGGATCAGGCTAGTGGGTATGGACTACAATTGCCTTTATGCATATACAGATTTAACTTAGGGAAAGATATATTTTAAAGTTAGATACATCTGTCTGAATCTTTGATTTGATATTAACAAAGACATGCATTAGTATGTTGAAAGCCTTAAGTTTTGTCATAACAATGATAATTATATTTATTTCAGGCAATACAGTTTACCAGGAAATTTTGCCACAGTTTGACTATCGTCTTTTTCACCCTCTGTAATAAGGGCGAATTTATCATTAGAGTAAGCTTTTGTAAAAAACTATTAAACATCGTAATCAAATATGAAGGGCAAAATCAACACTTGATGAATATGGATTTTACGGGTTATGGTTGAAAATTTCACTGGGCAGAAGTTTCTGGTTATACAGTACCCCTTTGAAATATACATATTTGTTACATGTTTCAACATATCTAGAACATGTGTTTGTTAAATAGCACTGTGGTCGAACACGCTTATCTAAGTTTTCATGTTTGTATGTTAGAGTGACACTTTCTGAAATATGCTTGAAAACGTTTAAATATTATTTGTTATCAATTCATATCAAACACAAACACGAAACATTTTTTATAATATCTTTGATCTGTGTTACCCTGCGACTGCAAGATGATGGTTTATGAGGAACTATTCTTGAGCAGTTCTTGAATATTGATTCATGAGCTTCCCCTAGGTGCATTGTATGCAAATCAAATTTTGGGACTGATCGGAAAACTAAAATGACCGACATGCAGCCATCAGGAGTTTTGAGAATAGGGGATTGTTAGTGCTAGTACGGAAAGTAATAGTGTAATCCTTCTTAAACTTCACAAGGAGGTTTACAATCGTCCACCATTGGTCATGCAGTATTCTACGTCTAATTGGAGAAACTGGATTACTACCAGACAGCAATCTTCAATTTTGTTATCATTATTTCTCGAGAGGTGCAGATATTTATCAATTTCATTGGTTAATTTCCATAAGTCCTAGATTTAAATTCAGGTGAATTTACATTTACAAAGAAGGGACAAGATCAATATCATTTAAACTTCATGAAGATGTTATGATGATTGGCGCACAGATTCTTCTAAGATGTCTTGAATTTTTTGGTTAGCGATATTTAGGCAAGTTACATGGGCATTCTTATGATCCTTTTAAAGTAGGAGTTGAGGTTAGGTTAATCTATGGTATACATGTGGCGATATTCTAGTTATATGGAAAATGTGCCAGATTCTTACCAAAACAGATTTGTGTACTGCAATATTGCAGAACACTGATACTGAACAGTTATTTTTGTTGCTTGAGATATGAGTTGGCAGCAGCATGGGACTATAATACAGGTCATTAAGGTGAAGTGAATATGGTTATATCCCTAGTGAAAGGTTTGCTGCTTCTGTTCTAGTCGACAAATTATTTGGACTGTTACTTAAAACAAAAAAATTCAAATTGAAGTTTTGCTACAAAGAATTCACATAGTCACATAGCTTCTTCAGACCAAAATGTCATGATGGACGGATTGCAGTAAATTTTACTGTATGAATATTTAATGCTATATTCTAACATGAATGATATGTGTTATGTGAATTACAGGCAGTTTTCCTGGCAACATAGCTATGTTGTTGCTGAAAATGGTACTACACTGGATGCCTCCCGCCAGACTGAGCTAGCTGCTAACAACTTAAGTCAGATCTTGTCAGGCGCTGGGCTGGGCTTGATGTACAAGCTAGAGAAGGGTGTAGTTCGGTCGTATTCGGACATGTTTGGCTTCACCTTAGTTGGTCAAGTTTCGACAGAGATCACAAAAAGTATCCAGACACATCTGAAAGCAGCATGGAAACTGCACAGTATGTAAACATGTCAGCAGATAGAGATGTCACGTTTTGATAATAATGATACACTAGTACATGAAGTAATTTTAAAATGTGTAAGAGTTATTTTAATATATCTTAATGTTTATTGGTAAATAACATTTGTGTTTTATTATATTGTTCTTTTTCACATCAGGATACTTAATATTTTAATGATGCAATTATTACTTATTTTCCATTATATGTATTAGAAATAGCTAATTTTCCTTATTTCAGCAGAAACTGCAATTATTAGTAACCTGAAACGACAAGAGTTTATTGGTCAAAACGGGTAAGTGTTTTTAAACAGGTTGTTTGTCTTAGAAACAATAGCGTAATCAACATGATAACTTTTTAATAATAAACACATCATGCTTTCACTTTTATGTTAAAATTTTCTGCATGAAATATAAAAATATATGAAATATATTATTGTGACTACCATCAGTTTGAGCCCCTCCCACTTTCGCTGCCCTCTGCTGTTGTAGTTGGTTCCTCAATCCATTTGTTAAACATTGTTTTGCAGACAATTTTCATTGGATAGTTTCAGTTCATATTAGTGGGTGTTAGTTGCACAATGTCAATGCTCCGGCAAAGTTTGGAGCTGAATTGAAAGTATGCTCTTCCTTAATTCTGGTTGTTACCTTGCTGGACAATATATTTTATGGCCCAAAATAATGGACATGTGTTAATTCATACGCCCGTCAGAAATTGACGAGATGTGATATGGCAAGCATCCATTCGTTCATCCACACTCTGGTTTCTGTAAGATAACTTGCTTCAATATTTTTGCTATTCTAATGGCAATTGGTAAGTATGAAAAATATACAAAGACTGAGGCTATGTTCGTGGCAACAAAATAGAAAATAAATCGGCGCAGCAAATAAGAATTAGGAAAACATCAACATCACCCAAAGGTTAATTTGACCACCGATCAAACAATGACACCAACATCGCTGGTCTAATGCTGAAATTCAGTCCTCGGAGCAAGAAATTGTATTGACATGGTAGAAGATATATCTTAAATACTTTGAAGGCCCTGTAATTGTTTGCTTGCATTGGATTTAAGGTCTAAACTGAACCCTGTTTGATATATGATGTGAACTACTGTCATGCCAGAGTTATCATGTAGTACTTTGTTAATATCAAATCATCATTGTTGCTGTTTACTCGCACAGGAGTTTAAGATTTTTAGAAGCAACCGATATCAACATGAACAACTTAATAATTGCAATAAAGCTGTACAACAGCAATAAAGTAAACAGTCTATTTAATATAATTTTATTATGTGTTATCAGGGCAACTCTGACCAAATATCATTACTTTGTGGAGAGAAATGGATCACTGCTGTACCCCTCTCTGACAGTGATGGCTAACACTTCTCAGCTGGCTCGCAATCTTAGTGTTACTGTGTACAACGGCCACAAAGAAACAGACTACAACGACTGTTACAGAGTGTCTGTTCAGGGTCATCATGGACCATTCAACACAGCTGTTATCACCCGCGCCATACAGACCATGTGGGCAGGCCAGGGCACCACTGGAGGTAGGTCTACTTTTACAGGGTCACTGAAGTCACTACACCACTGGTCATTTCCTACATATTATTTACTGCACAAAACGCTGCTACAAGTATATACAACTTTATCTTGACTGAGATATTGTGGGACAGATCACTGTTGTAGTCACTTCTATCATACTAAACACACATGTATGTGCGTAAGAGTGTTATTCTTTTATCCTCTTTCATAATTACTAAAGATAGTATAATGCTCTGCCTGATGGGGAGACAGGTGATGTACATGCTCCTTCGATGGTGGTGATGTACATGCTCCTTCTATGGTAGTGAAGTACATGTTCCGTCTATGGTGGTTATGTACATGCTCCTTCGATGGTAGTGATGTACATGCTCCTTCTATGGAAGTGAAGTACATGTTCTGTCTATGGTGGTGAAGTACATGCTCCTTCGATGGTGGTGATGTACATGCTCCTTCTATGGTAGTGAAGTACATGTTCCGTCTATGGTGGTTATGTACATGCTCCTTCGATGGTAGTGATGTACATGCTCCTTCTATGGTAGTGAAGTACATGCTCCGTCTATGGTGGTGAAGTACATGTTCCGTCTATGGTGGTGATGTACATGCTCCTTCTATGGTAGTGAAGTACATGTTCCGTCTATGGTGGTGAAGTACATGCTCCTTCGATGGTGGTGATGCACATGCTCCTTCTATGGTAGTGATGTACATGCTCCTTCTATGGTAGTGAAGTACATGTTCCGTCTATGGTGGTGATGTACATGCTCCTTCTATGGTAGTGAAGTATACGTACATATTCCGTCTATGGTGGTGATGTACATGCTCCTTCGACAAACTTGCTCGTCACTAAACTTTTGTCAGCTATATACGCAATCCGTACACAATGGCGGAATAACAATGCTATGACACAACTGTCAGGAATGTGATCGCACCATTGTGTCAAGACTGACACATACGTCCTATACTTAGATGACAGAACACATCACCATCAATCTGAACCGTAATGAGCTTGAAACCGTCACTGCTTCCAATCATTATCAGTGCCCTATACTATCACACATGGCCACACCACTGACCACGTGGGCTGGTCATCACTATTAATACATGATACCTCAACATGGTCATCATGATCAACAGAACGGTCATTTCTCACACTTAAATTACCATAAGTACGATTTTAAAATTGGGGCCCGTGAGCGTTTTTCCCGGACCTAGATTTTAAAGTTGTTTTTAGTCAGTTTTAGGGTGCTGATTAAAATGAGTTGGGGTGAACCTCGTACAAATGTGGGCTAACTTGGTGCTGAAACAGTGTTTACTGGATGAGTTGGCTATGCTTGTGAAGAAACACACAGAAATGACCTTATTGTGTTCTACATCGAGCACAATTGTTTAAACATCTCCTCTGGTAAAAGTTTGGAAACATTCGAATCCTGGTACAATCCTGTTCTTATTTTTTTTTGCAAATCCGAACTGCTGGGAAATGGATACAGTGATGATTAATGCCGATGATATAAATGTAGTTATTATTTCTGCATATATTGTACATCAGCTGGAGGGCACCCTTTTTATCAAACAGAAGGACTAAATCATCAGCTGCAGAGATCTTTGCTGTGTTGAGTTAGCTAAAACTTTACATTACATATCCATTACATATCCACAGTGGATGTGTTACAATAGCTGGCTTCTATGAACATGGGAAACAAAAACTCAGGAGGCACGCAACCTTTTAAAGGATAATGGCAAAGGATTTCAAGTGCTGCAAGAGGTGCTTCAGCAAATGTCCGCATTCGCTATATATGTATCTGACGCATCTACAATGATTAAATCAGTTGACCTTGAGTTGAAGCAAGAGCATTGAAGAATGGTTAGATCATCTAGATTCTCACAATCTGCATGTGACGCGAGTAAACTACCAAGTTTTTATAAAACTAAACTATGACAAGTCAAATGCACCTCCTGGTCCACGGCAGATGTGTATTAGTAAGGTTTAACAAAGATGCGCTTCCAAGAAGTAAGTATGACTTGGCTAAACATGACTCATAAGCAGATACTAGATAGATGATTTGGGTGAGGATTTGATTGGTTTTGTCGGTGTCTTCTACGAAGGGGATATGATATTCTGCTGCCCCTATTACAACACTTTTGATCTCTCTCGTTTCCTGTCTTCTTTCCTTTTCTAACTACTTGATGTGTACTTAACGGTGTCAACCCTAGATACCCGTCCTCATATAGTCATGGCTGTTGCATGGACGTTAAACCGGAAATAAACAAAATGATTGTCAGACATTGCATACAATGGTTGTTTTATTAATTTATCACGGTTGAAGATGAAACTTTTGTATCCAAACCGTCAATGGTCTTTTCCTTGTTTTTTCTTTTGTGGTCAGCTAGCGGATTACTTTGATTTTGGCAGCGAAATAATAATTAACCATAACTTATCAAGTTATTATACTCTAAAAACAAATTTAGATCCCAAAATCATATGAAACGGACATCTAGAAGCGAAGATTTTTTTTCAGCACCCTCTCAGTGACTATAATCAACTTGCAAACCTTGGTCCGGGAAAAAACGGTCACGGACCCCATTGTGGGAACCCTACTATAGGTGGACTGGACAGAGCATCAATATTCAGATAGGTGTATTCGTTTTGAAAAAAACCATTGACACATTTTCAATGTCACAGAGGTAAAAAGTGTGAATTAGATTCATTAGTTTGGTATCAATGATAAAGGTTACGCTTGAAGATTTGAATACAAGATGCTTAAAAGAGATCCCACACCAACATAAAAATGTAGATTGGTCGCAATTCTCACAAAGATGAAGAGAATGCACGACCCATGAAGAACAATATAATAAGGTCTACCGTGCATCAGAAAACGCATATACTGTACACCCAAGATTCAAAAGCTAGACTATTAATTACGTCCTATTATGTATAACACTGGTTCAATTGGCTACAGTGTATCAAGATGTCTTGCAGTAATCCTCAGTCCACTGTTAAGAAAAACAGAAAACCATGTGAAAAAACAAGAGATTGAGCGTCGGATCTGACTGACATTATTCTTGAAGAGGACGACATTTTTAACTCGCATGATTTCGTGTCTCTCTTTCCCAATTCACCAGTGGATGAGACTGCAAAGGTCATACGGGATAGGTTAATAGTAGACAGAATCCAGAAGAAGAGAACAAACCTTCCTGTTGGCAACGTGATGGAGTTAATGGAGTTCATACTCAACAGGGTCACTTTCACCAGCAATAGATTGGCGTAGCAATGGAAAGGGAGCCCAGTATCAATCATTGTTGCTTATTTATATATGGAGCATCTTGAGCATAAAGCCATCACAAATGCTCCGATGGAGTGTTGCCTTAACTATGGAAAAGATATGCTGGCATTATCTGAGAAATAGTCAATAAAAGGTTGGGTAAACAACCTATCAACTCACCTAAACCAGGCGGACGATTCAGGGTCCATAAAATTCACTAGCAGACGGAATAAATGTCCTTCCTGGATACCCTTATCTTAAGAAGGGTCGACAGTTCGATCAAATTTCTGAAGTACAGAAAAAACACTCACAACGACCAAAACCTCAACTTCAATTCACACCATCCGTTGCATCAGAAGTTGGAGGTAGATCACACTCTCCTGGACAGGTGCATGAACATCTTAACTGCAGAGGAAAGCATGGAAATTAAAAAGATACATATCAAACAAACCCTTACAACATGTAGATACCCAAACGGTCGATAGGGAAAGTAAAAAACAAATAGAAAATAAAAGCAATGCAAATGATCCAAATAATCAAAAACGTACAAACACAGAGAGAAACACTAAGCGCATGGTCACTTTTCCATACATAAAAGGGATGTATAAAGCACTTCAAGAGTGTTGCCAATGTGACCACACAACATCATCAAGCAACTATCAGTACATTAGAAAGACATATTGCCAAAGGAGGACAAAACGGGTGGTTTACTAAATTCCATGTAACAGCTGCAACCTTACCTACATTGGAGAAACTACTAGGAAATTTTGGACAAGCCTCAAAGAACATCAAAATGCTTGTGATGAAGGGCAAAGAAATTTATTCAAACGAATGTCCACAGGTCACACATTTGTTAAAACATTAAAACGATTTCTTCTGAGTAACCATGAAAAACTAGACAAACTTTTGAGGTCAGATTATTACAATAAGTTCAAATCGTACCGCATAGATTCATGAAAATGTGTAGAGTATCAGGTAATAAAATCTTCCATCAAAAACCTGTTATGGGTAAAGTAACAACACTTTGCATAATTAAACAGATTGCACCTCTCTTTGAATGTACTATATTTGAGATACTTAACAGGTGAGTGATACAGTTCAATTGGGCCTCTTGTTTTAATGAGGTTTCACTTTGCAAATAAATCAGAGAAGTACAGCATTTCACAGATAAACAGGAAAGTACATCACTTCACAAATAAAACAGAGAAGTACAGCCCTTAATTAACAGGTAAACAGGGAAGTAAACACTAAACAAATAAAATGTACAGATGTAGAGATGTACATCACTTAATTTGCATAACTCATTGTAGATTGTGTCTCTGCATTATTACAGTTTTCTATGTTCCTGTAGGTACCACCACGTCCAACTACACTGTGGCCATTGTTAAAAGGGAGGAAGAGGTAGGCAAGTATGGGTAAGTTGTGTTTAGCGGATATATGGGTGAGCAATACCGGCCCTTTTGGCCTATTGTATTCAGTATGAAATATTTCAAACATTATTAAAGTTCTTATGACAAGACCCCCCAATACTCCAACAGTTCTTTATCAAACTAGATGAGTATTGTTACTGTTCTTGCTGATTGGAAATCTAAGATTGCAAACATTTTGAACTTTTCCACAACTTCCATTTGGATAATTTCAACTTTTTGTTTCGCAAATTATCCTGGCAGGACCCTGGCCAAGCGTAATTAGTTTTGATATAAATTACAAATTAAAGATAGTCATCAGGTCTCTAATTTGGTAAGACATTTTTGACGTTTTAATGTATCAGGACAATTTTAATCAAAACACAAGCTGTTTTAGTTCTGATAACAAATACTGACCTTTTAACTTTGTCACAGAAAAAGCCGTACACATATTAGTACAAAGTAAATAGGTGAGATATCTTTGAGAGAGATAACCTAGTTAACAGATTGGTCTTAGTGTTTATTTAGGACGCATTTTCATACACATTTCTAGCTCTTGATAATGGACCTAGATGTATTTGAAATGTATAAAATAACCTACATTCTTACTTCTCACTTTTGTCCTAGATTAAAGTTGTCGACCTTGGTATTTACTGTGGAGAAGGACAGCATGACCTTGACCCCAAATTACCGAGCATCACCAGCACTGTCCTCAGCCTGGACTTCTAGTGGTCAGTCAGGCCAGGTGTACAGCGGTCAGCAGCAGACATTCCGCATGAGCGGTTTGTTCCAACTTGGTCTCCAACTTGCAGAGCACGTAACAGAATTGACCAAGTCTGATCGAGCAAACCTGGAAAAAATGATCCATACTGTTTGGAATGTTGTTTCTGGTATGTGTAAATCTAACAGAACACTCATTTTGTGATTTTCGTCACCTCTCATTATCAGTGACGTTGTATCATATCTCACATTCTATTTATGTTTCTGTACCTTTTACTCTGTTTCTACATTAATTTATACACAAACATCCTTCTTTTAAAACAAGGAAATATTATGATATAGATAAAATAGTTGCTGTCTACTCTGTGTAAAATGTCTACTCATAACTTAATGATATTCAAGCAATGCTAATGTTGTATTTGGCATTCTTCATGATTACAGGTGATGTGAAGATTGATGTTGTAGCCAACCAAAAATTCCATTCCAAGGACAATAGGTTTGGAAATTATTATTCTCTCCTGATTTTTAGCTCATCTGTTTGAATAATAGCTTTTGTAGGCACTCTGGTGTCATCAATGGTAAACAAAATAGGGAAAGTAAAGAAATTCGTTTTACCCCCTGCAAAGTTAGAGGGCATATTGGAATCACCCTATACGCCCGTCATTCCATCGGTCCGCCTGTCTTTCTGTCTGTTGACACAATCTTTTCCAGAAAAAAACAACAAATTTAATGAAACTTCTGAAGTTGTGCACCTTCGATTAAGGGATTTTTGATCCGGCATATTTCATTGGGGGTTATGCCTTTTTCACACAAATTAACCAGCACAATCTTGTCTGCACAACTCAGCCAAATGTCATGAAAGTTGAGCACCTGTGATTGATATTTCGATCCGGCTGTTTTTCAAGTGTTTATGTAGTTATTTTAGGTTAATGTAAGGGAAAATATATTGTTTGCACAATACCTCAAAACATACCACTCCAATTTGAATGACTGATGGTTCACGGAACCCTTAAGCACGGGGATGTCAATGAAGTATGTAAATTGGTGTTACCTCCCCTTATTGTAGAGTTATGCATCTTTGTTTTCAAATGTGTTTTACACTTCTCCTCTCAAAGTACTCCACGGATTTAAACGATACTTGGTACATGTAACACTTGCAATAAGTCTTAAATTCTGGTGGCAATTCTAGTTATTAAATAAAAAGAGACATACTCATTGTGCTACCTTTTAAAGATGGAGTTTGCTTAAAAACTAGCATATCTACATAAAAAAAATATTATAATATAATTCATTTATAAGATCTAAGCACCCTGACATCTTTATGAACAAAGTGTATTACTCCTGTCCATTTTACCAAACTTTAAAATGACATGTGCTACCTTGTTTCAGTGCTACGGTGAACAAATTACTTTACGCTGTGAAGATTGATGGCCAAGTTACAGAGAATTGGGAGAAGTCCATTCCAGACCTAGAGACGAAACTTTTTACCGCCTTAAATAAGTCGACAGATCTACGCAACAATTTCAACATTATCACATCATATGGAGGGCGTATCAGGAGTGTGTATCTCAGGGGTGGAAGCAGGGTTAATGTAACACTTCTCTCACAGGCACTGATGCAGGCATGGCAACTTAACACTAAGGGTGAGTGAAACATCTCCCTAGCTATCTGGAGTGTCTGGTGTAGCAGGTCTGCGTCAGGCAACTTAACACTAAGGGTGAGTGTAACATCTCCTTAGCTATCTGGAGTGTCTGGTGTAGCAGGTCTGAGTCAGGCAACCTAACACTAAGGGTGTGTGTAACATCTCCCTAGCTCTCTGTAGTGTCTAGATCTGGTGTAGCAGGTCTGCGTCAGGCAACTTAACACTAAGGGTGAGTGTAACATCTCCTTAGCTATCTGGAGTGTCTGGTGTAGCAGGTCTGAGTCAGGCAACCTAACACTAAGGGTGTGTGTAACATCTCCCTAGCTCTCTGTAGTGTCTAGATCTGGTGTAGCAGGTCTGCGTCAGGCAACTTAACACTAAGGGTGAGTGTAACATCTCCTTAGCTATCTGGAGTGTCTGGTGTAGCAGGTATGCGTCAGACAACTTAACACTAAGGGTGTGTGTAACATCTCCTTAGCTATCTATAGTGTCGGGTGTAGCAGCTCTGGGTCAGGCAAATTAACACCAAGGGTATGTGTAACATCTCCCTAGCTCTCTGTAGTGTCTAGATCTGGTTTAGCAGGTCTGCGTCAGGCAACTTAACACTAAGGGTGTGTGTAACATCTCCTTAGCTATCTATTCCGTCTTTGCGTATTGCAGAGTTATCTTCTCTTGGGAGCAGGTATTGATTGTTACGTCACTTGTTTGTGAGAGTAACGTCATCAATTTTTGAGAAAATGACGTAGTTTTCTCACATAAACCAATGACGTAACAATCAATACCTGCTCAAAAGAGAAGATACCTCTGCAATACGCAAAGACGGAATAGTGTCTGGTGTAGCAGGTCTGCGTCAGGCAAATTAACACTAAGGGTGAGTGTAACACCCCCTAGCTACCTAAAGTGTCTGGTATAGCAGGTCTCGGTCAGATTGTTCTTTTATCTTTAGCAGCATATACTCTTTCGTTTCCTTTCCATCATGGTTTTGATTAAGTTTGATGAGAAATATTTTGTTGTTGTTATATCCAATTTTGTTTTAGAATATAATGAAATTTCTTATTGAATAGACTTCTAAAGGTAAATATGGTATTTGGTTTAACGGAAAGATAATTTCAAAGCTTTGTGATTCATCATAATGAAAAAATATTATGCGAGGTATCCATGATTGTAGGGCAAAATTATGTTGAAATTGTAAGCATTATACTTGTTTTGTATTTGTAGCAGGAACATCTGACCTGAATATTGTCTCTCAAAGGAAGTTTGTGACATCCTTATGGTATGTACTTCCACAGTGCATGGTTCACAGATTATAAGTATATATATGATATAATGTAGTTACTTTATCCCAAATATGACCAGTAATTTCACGCAGTCAAATTAGCTTGAGTATCAACTTGATCAATTGTTTTACTTATTATGATATTATGGAAAAAACATGATATGATTTTGTGTTTAAAAGTAAAACATGTATGTTCAGTGTAAAAGAAATAAGGAACATGGGCCACGATCGATCGTAAATGTGAAACTTGGATATAATTAATGCCATTATCATTATGACGATAACATGAATTTTTCTTTGAGATTTGCTAATACTCTGATATAAACAATAAAATACAGGTGCTATTTTTATTCAATTTTAGCAATATGACTTTGCATGTTAATATTTCTTCATGAACCCACCTCTTTGTGTCATTATAACTCTTACGATAGTAAGAAAATCTCACTTCCTGTTCAGCAAACCTAAAATAAATAGTCCGCCCTTTTTTATTTTATTTCATCATGGTTATTATACACTTCTTTGGTAAAAAGAATTTTATAGTCAGCTGGATCTATTGTATTGCCTTTCAGGGACTTCTTCACAATGAAGGTCCAGTATGTGGTCAGCGTAAACAAGACTGACCCAGAAGACAGTGGTATTGAGCCACCATCTTACGATAAAGTCGAGACAGCTTTGACCTCAGTTAATCTTGGTCAGTGTGGAAAAGGTTCCCTCAAATACAACAAAGTACATGTACAGGGCTCCCCTGCCACGCTCAACTTCACAAATATTGCTGGAGCAATGCGGACAACGTGGACCTCAAAGAACACCGGTGAGAACATACAGATATAGTCATCCTTCTTTATAACAAACCTTGATACTGTATTATATATAACGCTGAGTTAGTCCAGGTTATTTTTACATCTACATTCTTGGCAACTCGCCCTATTTGGAGGGAGAGTCCCGATTTTGGACCTTACAATCTTCTGAATCAACAGGATTCAAATTCCTCCTTCAGTACAGATTTATTGATCTGAATAGTTTAGTCTGGAACATTCTTAAGCCAAGAATACTCAATATGTGGAAACATTTACAAAATTACTTTTATTGAGAACTTTTTTTCCATGATTGCTTAAATATCAAAAGTGCGATACAGGCCATCTGGGTCTCATGTTTAAATTTCATATGAAGGTTACCATTGCTTCTGAGTTTAGAATACTTCATTTGCAGACTGATAGGAAAAATGACATGCATGTACTCATAAAAAAATCACGATAATAATAGATCAATTTTGCTTAGAACCAATGAAAATCTTACGAAGATTGGACAAAGATCCCACTGGAATCTCATGTTTAGAATGTCGACCATGTCACCAGAGTTATAACAAAGGGATTCGGAAACATGTAAATCTGTTCTAAACTTCTTCATATCTTTTTCAGAGATTGCCAACATGCTGACGGTTTCATTTAAGCAAGTACAACATCGCCAGAAGCGTGCTGCAGCTGAATCCTACAGATTAGTAGACGATGATGGGTAAAATATATATTCTCTGAAGTTTGCTAGCTTCAAGTACAAACTACATTGTATATAGGTTTTTCAATTGTTCAATAATTTCCTGGTCCAAGGGATGGGGACCAGGTCGGGTGATGAGGGGTAAATATGTCCGCCTCTATTCATATCTTTACACATATTTTTTAGATTTACAATTTGAAAAATAAGATTTTTGATATGGGAGTAATTTTTACATGTTATGCATGACAACGGGTACTTCTGTAGAGGTATATGTTCACAATAATATCTGAAATGCAAAGCATAGCTAGCATTCTTGCTATTATTTCAGTGAACAGTGTATTCTCATTAAATATGTTGAAAATTAAAAGACGTTTTACTTTTAATGTTAAAGTTTGTGATCACTTTTTTACTTTGTGACAGTCATGAGATCAGTCCTGTGGAGTTCACTGTGGCCTTGAACCAGGAGGAGCCAAGCTCCATGTTTTTGGACACACCCTCAGACGAAGAGGTCAGTGTCGGGCTAAAGGCCGCAAACACAAAGCTGTGTTTGTGTCAGCCACGCCTGGCTGCACAGCTCAAGGTCAAAGGTCTCGTTAGTGAGGACGACAAGGACAAGGTTAAGGCTGCTGTCAAGGATGCCTTTCTAAAGAAAAATCAAGGTAACATTTTATTTCTTTCAAAAGTGTTTTTAATTTTAGGAAACAATCGTAATATGTGAAACGAATGTTGATTCCCTTTCACATTTGGCAAGAACCGTAAATACGAAATATACAGTTTATTTATAGTATAATACATGATATGAAACATATGTAAGAGCCATTACACACACACAAACAAAATTGTTCTCTCCCTATTGCCCGATAATGACCTATGATACATGTATATGTACACATATTGAATTTTAGCTAAATACATAGTATCAGTTCATGTCGCTTATTTGTACATTTCAAACCTCTTCCATCTGATCATTGATTATACTGCCCATCCGTAGCCACAGTCCACCTCTCACTATACATTCCCATTAAGTCACATAACTGGTTACACAAATATGTTATTAATGGTCACACAGACCAGCCAACCACATGGTTTTTGTTGTGGTCACACATACCAGTCAACCACATGGTTTTTGTCGTGGTCACACAGACCAGCCAAACATATGGTCTTTGTCATGGTCACACAGACCAGCCAACCACATGTTTTTTGTCGTGGTCACATATACCAGCCAATAACATTATTTTTGTCGTGGTCACACATACCAGCCAATAACATTATTTTTGTCGTGGTCACACAGACCAGCCAACCACATGATATTGTCGTGGTCACACAGACCAGCCAACCACATGTTTTTTGTCGTGGTCACACATACCAGCCAATAATATCATTTTTGTCGTGGTCACACATACCAGCGAATCCTAGGTAAGTCACTCAGATGTAGCTAGGTCTGATAGTGACTGTAGATGATATAATCACATAAACTTGCACTACAACACTGCATTATTGTCGATGTATAATGCTGGCAGACTGTAATGTCATCAGCGTCAGGGCCTCTATTACTAACGGTGGTAGGTTGTCATCATTCATTTCACAGGTCCAGAAACGTATGGCCCTTCAACAGACCGTAGCGACGAGAGCCAACAACATACGTACACACTAATCAATTATCTGTTTTACACATTAAGATAATTTAAACATAAAAATAGCAATATCTATGAAAAATATACACCATAATTAAGCTGAACAATATCTATTAAATATATATAATAATTAAGTTGAACACAACCAAAAAGGCCTTTTTTACACTCCATCTAACCTCATTCACACACACACACACACACACACATATATATATACAGCCCATGCATGCACGATACAGAGTACGTTTTCATATTTATCATTGCAAATACAGCATTCTATTGCACGTATGCAGCAAACATATACGAACTAATAAATCGGTTATTTATGTAAAAATATAACTTTTATATACTTTGACTTACCTCAATCAGCTGTTTGCACTTTATTATGTAAACAAGTTTGCCTGACATTCCTGCCGCTTACAAAGCTTACAACTGACCTGAATTTACTTCATGACAACCTGTTAGTCTTTTGATCGGAATGTTATTAATGTTTAAACAGACAGTAGTTTGTATGTCCATGATCGTTGGCCTGTCTATATAGAATTATATATCACGAAACGCTTCACTAAACTAAGTTGGAATAACTTTCCTTGAAAAAACAATCATCTGAAATATGTTATATCTATCCAGAACTGCTGCACCAGAAGGACGAACGAATGCAAAGACTATTTGGTTGGTTATATCTGTTGACAGCTGGTTAACGACATCCTTTCCTGATGTTTATATTCTATGTTATACTCAGATGTGTACATCATTTATACCTATATTTACAGACTTGAATGAAGATGACCTTGGAATTGAGTTGTCCATCACTAATGCCACAGATCCCTCAGGGTGAGCTTCATTTTTGCCTTCAGTTTAGAACCAATTTGAGTAATATTTAGTACACACAATCCTTACCTCAAGGGTTGTTATTTAAGTATGTCCATTAGTGTTATCGTCCCTTATTATGGACTAGTACATGCTTGCTGAGAAAAAAACTCATTGTTCACACTATTCCCAAAATAAAGCACCAATTTGAATGATACTCAGTTCATGTAACACATGCATTGGAAGAATATGAAGAAAGTATATTGATTGGATTTACCTGAAGGAATGCCCTTGTGTTTAAAAATGTTCTCAAAAGAATTATTCCTACAGTTCTTACTGCAGACAGGGTGCCTAAGTCTGCCATTCTGGTTACAGTTGTAATTACCACAGTGTCCTCCTGGGAAGGAGGTAAAGTTTACTATAGTTTATGAAGGGCAGACCAGGATGCATGTATGCCAGAATCAAATGTACTTCATAGAAAGTTGCTTGCGTGCTTTATCAAAAAAAGTTTATTTCATTACCCAAGGGTCACTATTTCCTCTTGCAAGGGGGGTAAAGTTTACTCTAATACTATACTTATTTACTGTATTCTAACAATTACCAACTATATATATATGTGTTGGTCAGTCCCAAACATCATCAGGGAATCCACAGTCAAAACACATATTTGGATGATATGTATTATTTTATTTTGTCGAATCACAACAACAAATAATTATATTACAACTCAGTTGACCTGCCCATTAAGACCCACTAGTGTATTTTTTTTGGTTCCTCAGTATCAACTTATTTCTATGTAATTTAACTCACATATGTTGAATGGCTGGTACAAGGTTGATCTCTCAGTTGTTTCTAGTTTCAACAAGTAAAACATCTTTACACTTACAGTTGTAACTTGTATACGGCAATGTCTTTTTCACCTGGTCCGAAGGACAGGTCTCATCTAAAAGGTTTATCAACCTGGAGTCTTGAATACATTTTTTATGACATGCTGCTAATTGCATTTTGTATAAATCAATATGCTTTCATGACATTGTAACTTTAACTTTACACAGAAAACATGCTTCAGATGTTGACTATATTGTGAAAAGGAATGACAACGGAGATGTTGAGGACTTAATACGACCAAATGAGGCCCAACTGATGTCCGATATACAATCAATGTATTCAAAAATGGAGAAAGTGGAGGACGATAAAAAGGTATATATTAGATCATGGTTACTACAGGTGAAAGATCTTGAATTTCGGTCATTGAAAAACAACAGATGTATATTAAATAACAGTGTCACGATATGCCTAGCAAGTATCACAATTAATTTAAGAGATAACGGGTATATAATCAGCAAAGAATTAATGTTAGCACGTCTCCCTGCAGACTACTCTTCTATCAATGAAGGTCCAACGTAACGATTGCTCGGAAGCTGTTGTATCTGCATACTTGCATTTTTCAGGTAGGTAAGGCAGACAGGACATTCTTAGTCATCATATATATGACCAAACTATCCAAAACTGTTTGAGGTAGCCAAAATGAAAGCGCAGCACCCTATAAAGGGTCAATTTGACATTTTACCATACAACGGCTTTATAGGGCCCTACATAATATCATTGTGTTTAAGCCAATGAAGCATTGTTCTGTTTACCGATGAATCAAGGTTCTGCTTGTCACATGGTATTGGGAGGCGTAAAGTTTTTAAACTGCTGCATCAGTGGGCAGGACGTTTTTGTGGCGGTAGTGAGGTGGTCTGGGATGGTATGTGGGGTGGTAACCATACAACACTTGTAGTGCCTGGATTATCAAATGGGGTGCGTTATTCAAAGGAATATTTGTAAACAGTGATATACTTCCGTTTTTAAAACTTCATGGTGCTGGCCCCATTATTAAATAAGATAGCATGCCAACACATACCAGTCACGTCAGCAGTAAAAAATGTTTATGTGTTAAATTTGCCCTCTTAATCATGTGACATGTTGCCATAAAGAATGTTCAGGATATTGCTGAGAAACGACATTAGGAAACGTCAAAATCACCAGTAAATGGGACAACATCCCTGCTCATCTTACCCCTAAGTTTTCAAGTTTAATGCCGTGATTCTGCAACGCTGTTCTCAGCAAAAATGATGGTCATACACAGTACTAAACATGATAATTTGAAAACTTGACTTCAATTACACTATATAAACATCGAATAAAAATAAGTGAGCTTTTTATTATACCGACTCATCCTGCTTGTTAGCTTAACATGTAACATGTAAAACTTATAAAAAAATAATCCAATGATCTTATTGAAAGAGGGTAATGCTTATTACTGGGTACCCTCCCTCTGCATGGAAAGTAAGGGAAAACGGGTGTGGGCTTATATTATTGCCAGACATGGGGTTATAGTCGGTGAATATCAGAAAAATATTAAATAATAAATATACCTGTATAATTAGCAGTTTTATAAAATATTTGATGCATTGTCACAGGCGAACATTATTTTGCCAGGGAATCCACTGTTAAAGTTCAATATTTGAATTATATACGATACATGTATTTGTTTTTGTCAGTTCACAACAGCAGATAACATTATTATTACAACTAAGGTGACCTTTAAACTTAAACGTACATGGGCCTCAAAAGGTCAACACAGCGTTGGAGTGATAGATGGCTACATGTCTCAGCTAATTACAGAAAAATACTGAAATAATTTGAATGTTCAAAAGGTAATTTCTCACTGAAATTAAGAACAAAGCTAGAACACAGAATCTGAGTTTTGAGTATTAAAATAGTGTTATGAATCTAATCCTGAAATCAAAATAGCACTTCGTGTGAAGAATGAAAATTGCATTTTTTAAACTGAGAGTCTCCTTTGTGAGTGTGCATGAACAGGTGTATTTACAAAATAAAGTCAAAACAATGTTAAGTACCACTATAATAATATTCTGCGTTAAATCTGAGAGTGTGTATGGTTTTTTGTAGGATGACTGGATACTACCAGTGGCGGTTGCCTGCGGGGTGCTTGTATTCATACTGATCGTCATCATAGTGTGCTATGTTATATATATAAGAAGGTAAGACACATATTCATGTAGAAAACACCTTGTACTCTAAACTGTGAAAGATTAATTTTTCCGTACATTTTATAAAAATCTTGAACATGATGAAATCATAAAAAACAACTTGATTGAAAGAAAACTGTATTGTTGTTGTTTTGAACTTCACTATGAGTATAACATATTTAAATACCTATTCATAACAGTTTGCAATGTTGTTAATGAAAATATTTCAATAGCTTGAAACTGCATTGCGCCTTGACATACAGTTCTTCCAATCCGCGATCCCAAGTGTTAAACACGTATCTTCATCGTTTGGTTTGCAGACACAGGAAGAAAGGGGACCTTATCAAGCAAGAAGACAATGTTCGAAACAGGAACACCTTTGACAAGGAACATTTTAGTGACCCAGCCTTGTATGATGACCAAGGCCCGCTAAAGTATGACAACCCTGCCTATGACAATAAACTATATCTATGACAGGCCAAACTTGATGGTAGTTATATTTAACCGATTTAAATTAAATTATTCCATTACAGTGAAACTTCTTTTTGGATTTATGTACAAAAATCTGCTCTAGGACGGATAATGTTAGACTTTCCCACAAACAGATGTTGACTCTTGTTTCATAGTATTAGTTTTTTTAGCTTGAAAGTTAGTCATTGACATCATCAGATCAGAGACCATACATTAATTACTGTTGAGGAATAATTTCGGTGTACAGATTTTGTAAAAAGTAGATTTTGTAAAAAGTGGTCTTTGACAAATTACCAAGTTATTGTGTATAAGTTGTCTATTTTTTCTTCTTTCCAAAACAGCCCTTTTGGCAATCGGAAATATATGTATAGGTGGCTGTCTTATATGTATAGGTTTACCACCTGTAATTCATATATATATGGGTGGTTTGCAGATAGATATAGTTATAGGTCTTTCACCGATACATGGGATTTTTTGTCTGTCAAACTTCAGCTCCACCTAGTAGCATAGCGGATTTGACAAACTGGATCCTTTAGACTTGTAAGATAACGACTAGCTCAAGCTTAGATACGACCTATGGTAACTTGGGCAATACATGATGAATACGTTTGGTATATAAACCGTTGCTTGCTAGGTGGTACACTTTTCGTGCCAAAAGTAAAAGTGGAATTCATAAATAAAACTTGTCAATAATGGAGCTTATCAGTTATCAGTGATAACATTGTCGGTAGATATTGTAGTCTATATCATTGTTCGTTAATATGATGTTTTGTGTATATGTGTAACTCTTAGCCAAGTGAAAGAACTTTTTCAAATCTCTTACAGCGACAGATGTGAGGCATTACTAAATACTATCAATGCAATGTTCCTTTCAGCTTTTCAAACTTAAAACATCTTATGCAAGTTTTCTGGTCACTTGAGTGTTTGATATGTCAGGGGTTGAAACATATTGGACTGTTGTTGTATTTTTGAATTAACTGATTAATGTGATCTTTTTTTGAATTGTTTCCAACAGACGGACCAGTGTGAAGCAAACCGATTGGTAACGATATATATGTTGTGGCATGCATTGTTTTTCTAGCTGTACTAGTGTGAGGGAGGAATCTGTTAAGCTTCTGTTGGAAAACGTACCTCACAGAAGGGTTGCTTTCCGTCTATTTCATAATTGGCTTTGTCAAGTGCATGTATATATCTTTAAGAGTAATCCATTCATACAAATGCCCATATAAACATGCATGTACAAACGTAGCTCAGTTTCTATATAATTATCATTTTATATATTTTGCTAGCAAATCATTTTTTAAATATATTTTCATTAACAATTATTTGTCCTGAAATCTAATTTAAAAGTAAATGGATAAATTATATACATGTAAACAGTTGGTATTTCTATAATCTATTACTTCTTTGTCTGCAGCTGTGACCTGCTGTTTGATTACCTTTCTGTTTGAAAATGTAGACCTTATAGTTATCTGTATTGTGGACAGTACCCGAATTTTACATCATCAGATGGTGGGCTATTATAAACTTCCATCCTTAAATAATTTACATCTTGGAATAGCAGCTAGATTGCCCGATATACAAAGTAAGTCACCTTGACCTATGGTTTGACCTTTGAACTCAACATTTGAAAAAATATTGTCCGGGGAATATCTTCTACACTATTTTAGCAGGAGTAACCAATTTCATACAAAGTCTTACGATGACTGAGGGTCAAATACAAGTATACATGTAGGTCACAGTACGACTCACTGTGACCTATTATTTGACCTTTGACCAGAACTTTGGAAAACGTTTGGTTGGGGCACATCTTCTTTATTTGTTCTCTAGGAGTAACCATATATGGTATGCAAGTACATCTAGGGACAACTAAGTGTATAAAGTACAATGCTTTGGCAATTGACGTTATCGTTTGAAAACGTTTGTCCAGTATCTTTCAATCTATTTCACACGGAATAACCATATTTGATATGCATATATGTGTTGGATGGCAGAGTACAGATAAACATAATGTATGTCTATGTGACCTTTATACTGAGAAAAGTGTACAGCTTTGTAAAATACAGAAATCTTTAATGGTAGGGCGCTATGTACAGCCTTGCAATACTGTGATTGTGTTTCTGTTATGTTTCTTCTTCTTCTTCTTCTCCTTTTTCTTATAACTAGTCCTTCTGATTTTGTGGCAACATAACCTTTGATTGGTATCAGATGTGTTTATAGTTCTTAAGATATGTTGGAGGTCATGGTTAAAGGTGTGCACCTGCAACGTTTTAAATTAACTTCAAAATCGTATATGGCCGCCATATTGTCAAAGGTAACAAATCTTTGAATGGCCATAGCTCAAACACCATTGATCAAACAGCATTGATCAAACACCATTGATCAAATAGCATTGATCAAACAGCATTCATGCGTATATACCATATGTAGATAATGTTCGGGGCTTACTTTTTCTCGTTGCATTTGATGTCTTCATTTTTTCTGTAATATTTACTGCTAACATACTACATCCTTTTCAATATATCATTTAATCTTTTTGAAAAGCTGACAATATTTTAAGACCGTTTTATTCTGATGTTCTGCTTAGCAGACTTTATTCGATCTATGTTTTTGATAACCTTTGACTTGATCCAAAATTCGACATGGCCACCATAACATCATATTCAGTTTTAGCTCACCTGGACCAAAAGGCCAACAAAGTGTGTTAAGCAATATCCATTCAATTTCTAATGAATAACCAAAAGGTCCCTAGTGACAACATTTTACCAGTGGCATGCTGGAATGAATGGCTACAGTTTACTAAGTATGTTCAAATGAATGATCATGACCTACTTTAATGTCACAGGGGGCAAACGTGTTAAACATTTATAATCAACTTCTTCTAAATAACCGAAGGGCCGATGGTGATAATAGTTTACTATTGGCATGCTGGGATGGAGGGCTACTATAAGTAGGTTCAAATGAATCACCTTGACCTACTTTCATGTCACTGTGATCAAATATATCAAAAATCAAAATATTAAAACAACTTCTTGTGAGTACCCAAAAGGCCTATTGTGATAGTATTTCACCGGTGGCATGCTAGAATAAGGAGCTACAACGTTTGTTGAAATAAATGACCTTGACTCCTCTGCAATGTCTCAGGGGTCAAGTGTGTTAGTATCGTTAACAAACTTCTTCTGAATAACCAAAAGGCCGAGGATGATGATATCTGGGCATTAGTATGCTAGGATAAAATTCTTGACAACTTTTTTTAGTTTCAGTTTGACAGTTTAGGTTTGTAATTCCAATTCCTCCAGAATTCTGTGACAGATCTTTCTCGTGTTATATATGAAGTTTTCCCCTGATCAGTCTTATTATGATGTTGGGCGCCAATATTCCTCGGGAATTCCTTGTTTGTTACTATGATGCACACCACACATATAAACCTGTAACTACATTTTTCAATTTAACCTCATTAAATATCCATGTATTATGTATAAAATGTTCACAATTATGATGGAAATGTTTTACACAAAACGTTAATTTCCAATTCCATTAGAAGTTTTAATATTTTGTTTGGAATTGGTTTACAGAGATTCATGAATTCTGAATACGCCCCCTGCAATATACTAGACTTGTTTTAGTATTTAAGCTATAGTTACGATAGGCCAATCTGCTAGTTTTGTTTTATGTCTAAAACTGGTCTTATTGAAACAAAATTGTGTAATAAATACCATGTTGATTGAGCACACTGGGTAATCAACAACACCTGTTGTACTCCTGGTGTATGTAACATGCTCAAAGGTTTGCCCTGACCCACCGTATAAGATAAGGCCCCGCTCATTTTATCTGAAATAAACATTTTAAAATATCTTTAAGCAGATTTGTTTATAAACATGAACTTCAAGATATCTCCCTACTCCTTACCGCAGTAGTGTGAAGAATGTTGAACACACAATGTCATGTGGACCAGTTTTAAAACATCTTTCCGGTTCCCGCTCAAACAGTATTCAAGTTATACATTTAGTTTGTGTTAAAAAAATAAATCAGCATAACTTACAAGGTAAATAGTTCAAATATTTCATTTTAATGTCATAAATTATGTAACATCAGGTACATGCATGATCACACATACACACATACACCTAGAGTTCGAGATAACGAGGTTCGACTGTATATGTATTCCATTAGCTTTTTTATGATTGAATCAAAACATTACACTATAGGTATGAATCATAATACTATCCTCCATATTGGTGAAAGTGTGTTACCCTGACAATGTGTGACACCTGTATTAGCTGACATTGTGTGACACCTGTATTAGCTGACATTGTGTGACACCTGTATTAGCTGACAATGTGTGACACCTGTATTAGCTGTCAATGTGTGGTACCTGTACTCTGTGACAATATCTGACCCCTGTCTTAGCTGACAATGTATGACACCTGTACTCTGTTACACTATCTGACCCCTGTCTTAGCTGACAATGTGTGACACCTGTACTCTGTGACAATATCTGACCCCTGTCTTAGCTGACAATGTGTGACACCTGTACTCTGTGACAATATCTGACCCCTGTCTTAGCTGACAATGTGTGACACCTGTACTCTGTGACAATATCTGACCCCTGTCTTAGCTGACAATGTATGACACCTGTACTCTGTGACAATATCTGACCCCTGTCTTAGCTGACAATGTATGACACCTGTACTCTGTGACAATATCTGACCCCTGTCTTAGCTGACAATGTATGACACCTGTACTCTGTGACAATATCTGACCCCTGTCTTAGCTGACAATGTATGACACCTGTACTCTGTGACAATATCTGACCCCTGTCTTAGCTGACAATGTGTGACACCTGTACTCTGTGACAATATCTGACCCCTGTCTTAGCTGACAATGTGTGACACCTGCACTCTGTGAAAATATATGACCCCTGTCTTAGCTGACAATGTGTGACCCATGTATATGATATATAACAATTGACCATATGTCGGATCTATTTTTGCAAATTACAATTTATATGTTAATCTGCTCCCAAAAAACGACCTTCATAATTTTCCGACTTTAATATTTATCTTAAATAATAACTTTTTTTTACTTATTTGTTTTCATTTTTTTTTTTTTAAGACTTATGTTAATGATTCACTAGTACTACCCACATTTAGGAACTTCTTGTTTTTAAAAAAATATCAAACTACTGAACTACTGAATCACTTCTGCCATCTGAACAGTTTTGCACGGTGGTCAACAACCCATTATTGTTCAATTACTTGGCATATGTTAGAAAACAACACTTTCTATCTGTGTACAGGGAATTAACTGTTGTGCCACCATTTTTGAGAGAGTTTTCTTTGAAATGCATCAATATTGATTCATATTTTCATCATTTGTGATATTTGTTTTATTTCAGAAAGTTTGATAAAAATAATTAAGGGGGGGAGGAGAAAAGGAGTTCCAAACAATTGACACATACATGTATCTAGTAAATCATTTGCACAAAAAGTCTTAAGGTGATGGAAAGGTAGGTCCTTTAGGATGTTTTTAAGTGTGAAAGTTTATTAGAACCCGAATTTATCAAAAAAATATTTTTACTTAAGCAAAAAATGCAATTTGCAATGAAATGACATGATTCATGGGAGAATTTTGTTATTGGAAATGCCATTGAACAGTGGAAGTAGAATTTTGTTATTGGAAATGCCATTGAACAGTGGAAGTAGAATTTTGTTTTTTTAGACATACGGTGCATAAAAGGCACATGAGGCCTGGACAGATAGAAGTTTTCTGTATTAACTACAAACAAAACGAGACATGCCATTTGTGTAATTATTATTATACCTGAATTCTTGTGTTGAGTATATCAGATGTGAAAGAAAGTTTAAGATCTATTTTCAATAGTGAATTTCAATCAAAATGAGTTCATATGTAATATCTCATTTAATGAGATTATGAAATGGTCAGCTACCAAAGTACTCATACCACATAATGATATATGAAGTGAGGAATTCCAGTATACATGATATATGTTGCCTTAATTAAGGATAATTCATAACATTTCAGTTATAACCTACAAAAGATCCGAAACATTATATATACTATTTAAATAGTATTGGTAAATGAAATATGCACAGTCTCTTCATAGTCTGAGGTGCTGATACCCATTGGGCAGGTCTGTAACTCGGTTACATTAATCTCCATATTGGTTTCCTAGCTCTGAGTCCTCCTGCAATTTTTAAGATCCATGCCCAATATACAATAAAATAATGTATGCTACAGTATTCATATGTGATGTA